TAAGACTGAGATGCTTACCAAAATGGGATATAATGCGAGGGATTCTTTTTTTTTCGGGAAGAAACCTCCCTAACCGCGATTTCAGAAAAAATCGCCGCCGTGTTACAAATCGCTCATTTACACAATATTAAAGTTTCCAAACAACGTGTTCTTCTCGAGGTGTATCAGAACCGCCTACGCAACGGTTTAGCCCGTAACTTTTTTAGAATTGTCGAATGAAAGCTTCTCGCTCAATTCGATACCTCTGCGCTAAACTGTAAGCTCCGCACATTTGAGATCCTATTAATAGGCTTCAAACTATATGCGATTCGCACGCAGTATTGATATGCGAATTTCGCAACTTCAATTTTGCTTGCCAGCATTTTTCGCCGCCTACATACATCGAGTGCTCAGCGACTGACTCAGCGGTGCTCAGCGACTGACTCAGCCATCTACAGAGCACGAAAAGGCAGTGTAGAGACGCTGCAGGTGCACATAGCTAACTTAACTAGCGTCTAACTATCGCCTCGAATCGTTTTCTTCGCTCCTCTTAACCGTCAGCAAGTCATGTGACGCAAAAAACAATTTGCTAGAGCAATGACGAAGCAGACACTCGTTGGTCGAATATCACTCTTCTTTCAAGACATGAATCAACCGATTTGGCAAGTCAGAAAATTGCTACTATTACCAATTTTATTCAAGGTTCACACAAACTAATATTTTTATATTTACATGTTGTTAGCAGTATGATTGATATAATACGTTGAAAAAAAATAAAGTCTAGCTCTTAATGAATTTCATCACTCCGAACCTTTTTGAGAAACCGACCTCAAAAACTGGTTCAACAAATGAGTGGTGCAATTGCATCCGTGTTCTTGTACAAAAAATACAAGTCATACCCAAGTTGAGTCACTAGGTCATCGATGCTTAAGACTTTGGCTTCGCTCCTGAACACTTCGTCCAGCGCGGACCTAATTGATTTCCCAAATTAGTCCATATTTGTAATAACCTACAATATATCTTCGTAATGGGATCAATTACTGCTTATGTAGTGCACTGTGACTGATATCTAACAAAATGAATTAGAACTGCACCAAAAATCGATAGAATTGGAATAGTCCATCTGTCAGCGACCAGCCTGTATTACAACAATATAAGCAGGGTAAGTTAGGTAGCTTCGTCCGAATATTTACATTTCCGTGTAAAACTAACTATGGCCACACACCTTCGCTTTTTGAAGGAAAAAAACCAACTCGTTGATGTCAATCAGTAGGGCCTCTATAGAACAGAGCAAGATGCCATTGTTTTGATTATATAAAAACGTGTTTTTGAAAAACGTTGAGTCGCTCCTGTTTCTACTACACATGTATAGAACAGCGTAATCATGTGAACGCCGTGCAACACCACAATACAAAAAAAAGATAAAAAGAGGAGGAGGAGTCTCAGAAAACTACATTTGGCCGTGACCTTTTAAATCTCCTGAAGAGATAGAAACAAATTACAGCATAAGCACTATCTAAATTTCATCGGAGGGTGTTAAACGACTTCATCATAGCCAAAAAGCAATATTTTTGAGACATACCAAGCTACATTAGATGGTCTAGGTGATTAATCATTTGTTTTGATAAACTCGTCACCCTACAGAATCGAGAATTGTGAATGTATTTAGACATTCTCGTTGATTTGATTGAGATAGAAGTGTCAAGCATACAGATACTGACACAAATATCATCTTGCTCGAGCTCCGAGTGATAAAAGATTCGAGAGGCACCATATTCAAAGCAATTATATACGAATATGTCTGTATTATATAAATGCATTACAACACGTCTGCCTCTAGTAGTACGTTGCGTTACTCGCATATGTCTATTTATTACGACTTTCGACAGCGGTATTCCCTTCTCGTCGCTTTATTTTCGTTTTTGGGACGACGTGAGCGCGGCAATCTACCAGTGATTAATTGGCCGTAGCAACTCTGTGCTGTTTGTATTGAAAACCGAAGCGTTTCACGTGATAAGCCGTTTCATCGCGATGTCATTCCTTCTCATCCACTCCTGCAGCTGCTAGGGGCGGGTTTCTCGCGCCCACGCTCTCGACAGGCCGCAAAAATTACGAAGTGCACAAACGCCTGTGTGAGTGCATCGAATTCGCCTTCTACTAGCACAGCGAGCATTTGCGGTAGCAAGAAAGCTGCCTGAGGATGAAACTCGCACCTCCTATCATAGCACTATTGCCCTTATGGCGATACGCAGTAGTTGCTACACACTGCCGCAAATGTGGGAGCAAATCATGGGAACATCAAGGTAGAAGCCATGCCCGAGCTATGCATAGACCACCAGATTTCGCTTCATTTAGAGTGGCTTAATAGCTTCCGCTTCAAAATACACCACTCTAGCCTAAAAACTCGGACCAAATCTTGAACGATGAGTAATACAAATACTTCTCACCCCAAAGAAACTCACAAGTACTCACTCGTTTTCAAGAGCGCTTTTTGCGCTGCATTATTTCGAGAAATCGAACCGTCGCGTTGCCAGGGCATGTCTCTACAAACTATGAAGGCACGACAGCTTTGCCGCGAACTTTGCTCGCCACACTCGAGATTGCACGCGTGTATTTCACAACTCCTGATGCGACCTAGGAGGGTGATGCAGCAAATACGAGTTCGCTTTACCAATGTTAACTTGTGTCGCACATTATATTCCTTAAACTTGGTTTATACTGACTTTCTCAGGCAAGTTTCAAGTGTCTGCGTGGGCTGTACAGCTTCAGTAAACGTTGACAAAACTTTGCCACGCAAAAGTGCGTTACTGCATGTGAGCAGTTTTGGCAGAATGACATTCAAAAGCGAAAGATTTCGAGCACAATAATGCGCGTTGTGTAGTTGGAAGATGAGCAATCTCGGTCTAGACTTTTCAAGCCAAGCAGTGCTGATCTGCTGCTGAAACACACTCAGTCCTCATGTAAGAGGAACAGTAATATCAAGCAGCAACATAAAAGCAGCTGCAAATCTTTCACTTCTTCAAGGAAGTGACGGACACTTGGGGAACAAATATGTTCGAGGAGTGTGATCCAAACATTCTCCTATCATCATAGTTTAGAAGCGATCGCCCAGACATCTTTGTACTGTTACAAACTGTGATTGTTAAGGGTCAGCTGGAGTGGTTGGGACGGGTGGCCTGACGTATTAGGAAGCATCCATTTGAGCGCGTCGATAGACGATGTCCAATGCACCCATCTATGCTGCGTTGCACTTTGACACTAACTACGGACAGCTTCAAAGCCAACTAAAAATGAATAGGCTCGAGTGTTTAGCTTCCACTGCTCTGCAGCTAGCAGGATATAATGCCACTTAAAGAACATATTTTCCTTCAAAACCGATGTAGGTACGCTCTGCTCACACAGGCAGTCCTCCTTGTCCTTCGCAATCAATTTCCATTCCTGGCAAGGGTCCAAACTATACAGAGGTGGCATCGTGGTGGCATCATTCGCATATTTCATCATCCTGAGTTTCCGCAAACGTCAATCACACCCAACAGAGTCGCGTATGCTTTGGCCCGTACGATGGACACATTGCAAGCAAGCAGTACTGAACTATGTGGCTCGTATGATTGCCACATGTTGTCGCATGGAAGCTATGGCTTCCAGCAAAACTGAACACGGCCCTCAATTCTTCTACAATAGAGGACGCTGACTATGCACGCAGTATTCGCAGTCATTTAGCTCGAGTCCCAGGGCGACTTCGCGCGTTCATAGCTGGGTCTCCGTGCGTCTTCGACTACCCTGCCTGCTTAGCTCCCCTCGCACCTCCGCTTTGCGCACACTGTCTCGTGGTCAGACGAGCTCTCCGCAGTGTGAGCACTGTCTCGCCGCATGTCAGCACCCCTGCGTCTTGCTCTCTCCACCTTGCCCGCTCTTTCGCTCCGTCTGCGCTCTCATAATCGTAACTGTGCCTCGAAATCGTCAGCCCCTCTGCCACCCGCGATTATCGAAACCACTCCTTCACCGTCGTTTAGTTTTCCTTCCGTCTCTCATAAACTCCATCCCATAGACGGTAATTCGTGTCAACCAGAGGACCGCACAAATCAGTTGTGTGTATTGTTTCAAAACTGAAGACTAGCATTGCTCACAGTCAATCCCTTCAACATGTAGCACTCCAGCACTAAATGGCGTATACCGTTCCTTTCGCGTTTGAAAGCGCTAGAAGATTGCATGCTGTGAGGCAGGGCGAGGCCGGTATCTTCGAAATTAGCGGGGGAGCGGCGAGGTTTCGTGGGAACGCAAGCAGTGACGTCACAATCGATACGCTGCCGCCAGAGAGTGCACGACGACTGCGTCCCTGCACACCCCGGCTCCCCTGCGCTCTTCCGACGACCCGCTCCGTATTTTCTCTGACCTTGTCATTTCTGTGCGCACCTCTTGCCACCTTGCATGTCTCGCTATGCGCTAGCCGTCCTCGTACCTCCGTCGGTTGTGCGGCCCCTCGCGGTCCGCTAGCACGCCTCGCACCTCTACGGCGATGAGACGCTCTCGTTTTGACAGCGCCTCTGTCGCACCCCACCCGCAGCACTGCCTCCCGCAAGCCGCGCCTCGTGTCTCCCGCATGGGGAACTCTCTCTCAACAGACTCGTTTTACTGGCGCTCGCTGCGTGAATCTCTGCCGTTCAGTTGTTGGTCGGCTATTTCCATACAATCATTTCTTTCTTCGATACAAAATGCGGTCGAATCCTTGCGTAGCCTTTCGCACTTCCCAAGCTCGTGCGAGACTTCGCGCCAGATCCTCCATGATGCACCAGGCCAAGCTGCGTCTAATTATTTCTTTCTTTTTCCCTCTCACCTCACTTCTTCTTACATAGCTTATTTTAACGTTTTAGTTTCTTTGTCGTGTTCTCTGCTTCTCTTTCTTACAATTTAGCCTTAATGGCTCTTTGCCAATATCTCCGTTCATGAAAGAATGCGCGTCATCGAACAAACATTCGAAAATAAGAGATAAAGTTGCTATCGGATGCATCGCTCTTTTTTTTTCGGACAAAGGCGCTGCATGGCTTTCGTCTCCGGTGGCGGAGGAGGCCTTCCACCGCAGCCAGGAGTTCCAACTCCTGGAGGCTCGAATGGGCCTCCCGTTGCAGTCCAAACGCCGACCGCCACTCAGCTAGCCGCTCACCAACAGTTGTCTGCTTTGGCAGGCAATCAACATTTCCTGGTAAGGACTTTTTCTATCATTCACCCCCATCACTTCGCACTTTCATTCTTTGCAAGTCATTGAACGATCACATATGAACATGAAAGACAGTCTATAGCCGAAAGCTGTTAGTGTGCAGGTATAGGTGTAATCACTAGCATTCAGTCTATGATTGCGAACAAATCGTTTCATATTCACTTTGTCTTTAGCTTTTCTTGCAATACCCAGCATCAGGGTTGTTTGCAGACGCTTACCAATTTCTCTCTGTTTACGTTAATTGGCAGTTTTGCTCGGAATGTCTGCAAAAAGAATTAGTCTTGGCTCAAATCTCGCCTTAGTCGAAATTTCTTATCCAGAATTGTTGTAATAATTCGGTTTGCATCCACAAATGAGTTCTAAATCGCTTACTCTCGAAATAATTTCGGTAAGTACTGCACTGCTTGGATGGATCCACTTTGGCAGTCTGCCAACACTTGCAAGATATCGTGGCTGCCGTTACTCTTAATGACCAAGAAGCAGGCATCGATGTTTTTTCATTATGCGCATCGGCCACCTTAGTTTTCAGTTTGGCTGCGTCTTTTGACGTTATCCATCTACAACACCTAAGTCCTACCTTGTTCCTTCCGTCTTCTCTCAGTAGCTTGTGTTTGCCATGTACATAGGATGTGCACTGCTTTGCGCCTGCAAACGGCATTTCGCAAAGTTCACCGCATTATTGCAACTTCTACAACTATCGCCTAGCGTCCCTTGTCATTTATATCACCTTGAAATGGGCCAGCCAGCAGCGGCAATTGGCAGACGATGTGAGTTCATTGATGTCTCCGCAGTGAGCTGTGAGCGAAAAACGCAATCTTGTGCGGATCAAAGATCATTCGCTCGGCTGCTTGCCTTACTGCGGGTGCGTAAGAGAGCTGACATCCCCTCTTACAACGCACAGCGTTCGTCAAAATCGTCATCTTTGTGAGTGCCTCCAGATGACGCGGAAGCCGCTACTGAGTGGCGCCGAGGTGATTTCGCTTCCACTCATACTAAATTGTCTCCATAGTGAAAATTTTTCGAAGTAAGGAATTACATCTCTTCCATTGATTGCTGCTCAAAATATTGTCATCATTGTACTCCTTCCTTTGCTGACATGTATAGTGGCGCGGCCGATTCACAATCACATCACTCCTTTCCCTATTCCAAACTACCGCTAATTCAGAGATAATCTGGTGGTCATAGATTCGTGGAGGTTTTCGATGCCTCCGTCAATCCATGACGATTTGCAGTCGGAGTGTATGAGCGTGGCTGGCGCCCGTACTGTTTACGACTTTTTGATCAGCGCCCAACTGCGTAACAATAAGTGCATCATTCCGTCATCGCGCGGCGACAGCGGTTCAACACTACAAAAACCTCGTGCTTCTCGCATGGATCCAGCATCTGCTTCAAAACTTCTATTGGTGTCGTGACCTCGCTGATCTTTACCCCCTTATGGCCAAGTATGAACCGTCAACTGGCTGGGCACAACGACATCGATTGCGATGCAACTGCCAAAGCGCTAGCGCTCGGCAATGAGGAGATGCTCGCAGCTTGATACCGCTGCGTTTGGACGTCATCTACTCACTCGCAAATGCCCAGGTGTCGTCTGCATGCAATAAAGCGAGAAGTAGAGAAAGTAGAGGGAGGTGAGGGAGAGAGGGCGCGGGCGATGATTAGTTGGCGAGTAACGCATGGCTGCTGTCACTACCCAATGTTCGAGCATCGCCAGCGGCAGGAGCATAGCGAACTCTGAGCAACAAGCAGGCATCCTCCTTTGCCCTGATCAAGCAGATCATAGTGATGCGCAAATAACGGCGCGAGTAAATTGCGCACACATATAGTAGGACACAATACTGCCTCAAATAAGTAGTAATCATTTCAGGACGCTTTACTTCAACAACAGCTTCAGCAACAACAGCAAGCCGCTGCTCAGGCCAATTCTCAAAGTCCTTCATCGCAGCTGGTGAGTATAGTGGAAATTCACGGATCTGCACCCATTAGATGCTCACACTCTGTAGTCTATCATTCCCGTATAAGACGCTGAAACGCTGTTTACAAACCAAGATCTCCGCCGGCATCATTTGTTTTTCTCCCATTGCTTGGCTATCTTCTCTAAAGTTTTCTTTAAGGTAAGTCATCTGTTGGCCACCGCATTGTTGGGTGGGTCGAATCCTCTTGCCGTGAACCAAATGGCTAGTGGTGGCTCATCTTCAACAGTAGAACCACAAGGAATGCAGTTGCTGTCAGTGTTGCAAAATCAACTGGCTTTTGGTCAGCTTCTTCCTCAGTTTCAGGTCTGCTTGCTTGTCTTTCTTCTTTTCATAGTGATGGCATTCAATTTTCAGAGTGGTCAGAATCTCGGCGCAATCAATCCGCTTCTCAATCCAGCTATTGCGCTCTACTACCAACAGCTCCTGCAGCAACAACAACAACAGCAAACATTACTGCAACAGCTAGCACAGCAACAGATCCCTCAAGCCCAAGCTGTGCAAGTTCCCCAGGCCCATGCCTTCCAACCTCCAGCTCAAGGTACTCGATGACTGTCCTTTTCACCGCTGATGCATCGTTTGTTGCTGTTCCCAATATACGCACTTTTTCCGACATAAGTGTCTTCACCATGCTTTGCAGTGTCGTCTGGAAATGTGGAGTCGCAGTTGAACGCACAGGAGCGGCTCATGAGCGCCTATCTGAGCGAGCAACAACAACAACAACAACAAGCTGGTACTTTCAGCATCTCAAATAGAGATCAGGAGCCAACCTTAATGGCAAGTTCATCATATCGTATTGTAGTTTGTTTTCGAGTCCGCCGTCAAGAATTGAAGGACTATTGTAGTATTGAAAAAGGTTGCCATCAGCTTTGTTCATGCAAATAGCGAGTGCGCATGACGTCGCTTCGTCATCTCGCATTTCGTAATCCGGAGTTTCGATGCTCGCATGAACTGGTTTAGTTTTAAAGAGAAAAAAAATTCAGGTATTTTGGTATGATAGAAACATTTCACTTGCATATAGGGAGTGTGTATTTTCTTACTACATTACGGGATGAATGACATAGTTTCACCGGGTTTCACCTGCTTACTAGTATACCTGAACGGTCAGCTTTTGCCTTGAACAGCTTATTTGGTAAATACATTGCAACTGCTTAGAACTTCTTTTAGAATCATCAGGTTGCAAGTGGTCACGCGCAACATGCGCAGCACCATCACGATCGGGCCTCCGTGGGGACCACCAGAAGTTTAGGCGCTGTCGCAAGTGGCAGTGTCGACGTGGAGTCAGTGGAGGAAAAAATTTCGCGACTCATCAGCGAAAACGAAGCGATTGTCCAACCACATCAGGTGTTGATTTTAGTTTGCTCATTCGCTGCGTAATACCCAGCTCGATTACGTCGAAAGCATTATTTCAATCGAGATCTCCCAATCTTTATCTGGATTGATTCCATCGTTTCTGCGGTTCAATAAATCTCGACAGCGTTCAGCTAAGAAATATGAAACTGCTTCTCTCTTTCCATTATCCATCAATTCAGATTTACAATTAAGCGCTGTTGTTTGGGTAGTGCACAGAAAAATCTAGTTTGCTATATTTGGCCTTATGTATTCTTCCCACGTTGAAGAGAAACTCTCACGGCGATTATTCTCACCATAAACTATCTGATGCCTTTGTGCATTGATGTGAATATGTATGCCTTAAACGTCGTGTACCAAGACTGGCATGAGCAGGCATCAAGATTTTGGAGGATTTTTGGAGGATTTTCAAGGTTCAGAAACCAAAGAGCTTTTTCTTTCATGTTATCCGCACTCTGAGATTATTTTTGTGCAAGAGGTAGTGTTCAAGTTCCCTTTAGCGCCAAATACGTTCTAGTTGCCTAAAACATCATTATAGAGAAATTAGTCTCAGACTATATGTATTTACTTCTTTCCTGAAATCATCAAAATTCCAGACGTTGTTGAAGCGCAGGCCATATCATCGGCAAGCCGGTGGGCAGTCATCCATTGACCACGACAGCAATAGTGGCGGTGAGTATGGTGAGTGGTAGCTCATCAAAGGTACACACTCAATGCTGGTGAACTGTGTTCAGCCACCAAGCAGTTAAGAATAAGTAATATTGACTGTGTTCAACCACTCGGAACTTCAGCTGCTTCGAAACCTGCATGTCTTTGATGTAGTAAACAAGCTCTTTTGCATTCTTACTTCATCACTATATCCTGCCATGGAGGAAATATTGAACGAAGGGAAAACAAGCGTTCATCGTTACGTTAATAGTTTCTAGCATTATTTTTGAGATAGACCCCACGATATTTTCTGCTTCCATGCGCAAGAAATCGATCCTGTCTTTTTCCAGGCTCTACGCGGACATCTCCTGGTATTCGAGATCATCGCATGTTGCAGTCGAGCAGTCGGAGCCAATCTCACTACGAGCCGCTTTTGGTAGATATTACTAATTAAATTTTATTCGGTCAATGCTCCTATCTGCTTTACCAAGACTGCTAAAGCCGCATTTGGTGGAAGTTTGACGTCAGGTCTTCCTATCAACCGAAACATCAAGCAGGAATCACTGCCGACGTGTTCATTCTGCCTTTTGACGTAAGTGCTCGACATTGTTTACACAGCGCGACCTCATGACGTCATACGTTGGAACTCATTAATTGCAGTTTCCCAAACGAAGCTGGATTGCAAGTGCATGAGATTCGTTGCAGTAAAAAAGTTGAGGCAGCTAATGCTGAGGCTGAGAAGGTGAGTATGATTTAGTGTCCTACGCACTTACATTTATGAGTATCAGTTTGAGCTTCGCGGGGAGGCAAACTTATCTCTCCAGTCCGCTTCGAGGACTCCGGATACGGACACGCACAGCCGACACCCGCTCAAAAGGAGGCTGCTTGCTGCCGTAGCCGCTGAACAGCATAGCCCCACCAAAATACCTCGGCCGGTAAGGACTTGGGAAATCAGTCAGCGTAATCGTATTCTCAGCTCATATTATTGTCGTGCATAGGAATCTCGAGATGTGGTGGTCATAGAGGAGCGAAAGGCATCGACTGCTGAGAAAAAAGATTCCATTATTGAGCTCGATACTGAACATCCAAGTCTTGTGCGAAGGTTCGTCAACTTTCACGAAACACTGAACTGATTATTCTGCTGTAGGGCAACGATCGCATCTATGCCTGGCCTGCAACGTAGTCACTCTGTGGCAGCTCCCATTGCCGTATCTGCTATCCCATCCGTCATGCAACCTGTTCCTCATGCTCCTGCTCCCGTTTGTGCTTTACAAAGTGCTGGTGGTTCGTCTGCATTTGCTTCTCCTAGTGGATCTGCATTTGTGCCTCAACCAACGCCTGCCAGTCAGATCCCAAAGAAGGAAGTAAGCATTGGTTGTCTCATCAACCATTCACTCCATTTTTTATTCAAGTTATTGATTTGTTGCTTATTTTTAGGAAAATCCATTCAGCATTGAAGGATATGTGCTGGATGGGAATACGGATAAACCGTATACGCTGGTACTAACACAGGCATGCAAAGTGCAGTCTACAACTGACGTGGCTACTGTCCGTAGGTGAGAATATAGCGGTGACGGTCCGTGAAATGTTGTGCCTTGCCAAACTAAAATGTTGCGAACGTAAAAGGGAACCAGTGTGGTCTCTGCATGTTGATAGTTGCAAGCATCGTGAATCTGCTGTCCTTGACGTACATAAAAATGTACTTTCGTGTTGATTGGCACATATGCGACTTTGATGTGGTAGTGAATCATCTGTATAAACTACTTTTTTATTTAGGTCGCGAGGCAGGAATATCACCAGTGAGACGTTTGTTTGCATGCACCGTGCTCAGCCAATGTTTGTTGAACAGAAGGGGAATTTGTCAATGTACAGCAACTGGCATCAGGTCTGTTGATGACGTCATTTTGCGCGTGAATCTCCGCTCTTCGAAAAGCGTGGATTACGGTGAAGTTTGGGAATCTACGCTGAATCACTGTTCATTTAGGTCAACATCAACGAAGCTGAGTCTAAGTTGAATCTATTGTACATGGGAATGTGCTCTACAAGGCCGCGAACGGGTGTGAAACCATTCTGGCGGTACAGCGTTGCAAATCGCGACCATGGGCAGTACAAAATGACTCATTCTTCTTTTTGGGAATATAGGAATAAGGTTGGCTACATTTATTGTTCGTATTAGGGACTCATTCCGTTCTAGAAAATGTGATTCCACTTCACTAATGACCTGGGGTACGGTAAAGGTCAGTCCCAAAACAATTTTTTATGCAGGTGAGACGCCAGGCTGAGCAACTGCAATCTGCCAAAGACGATAATGAGGATGACTTGCAGCCCTTTCTTGATGGTCTCGGAAACGACGCGAAGCCGGCAGTGGATGAGGTGAGAACATCACGACTCTCTAGCTCTCTTACTTGTACTTTCTAAAACTTGTGGTCATCATGCTTAGATTTTGATTTTTATGGTCAAGAGTTTTCTTCACTGTTCAGCAACTGGATGATCGCTTTCGTGAACTTCAGGCCAATGACGTGGACTCATCCGTCGCTATCGGAACGGCCGAATTTATTCCAGCAGAACCAGTGAAGGAGGAGTCAGTTTGAGTTTCGTTTTGGTTTCCTCTAAAGTTTCACGCATGCTGCTTCAGAGGCGAGACGCTACCACCGTCAAAGTACAAACCCATGAGCGAGCCAGCTAAGTTAACCAAATCTACAACAGCCAAGAAACAAGAACCAGTGATTGGCGGATATCGCACTGACGAGGTATAATTTTCATGTTGTTTGTTCAATAATTGTATGGATTACACTAACTCCAGTCCGTCATAAGGTTTTTCTACTACAACAGTGCTGCATTTTACTGACCCCGTTTGTAGGTATATGTGTACGTTCGCGGAAGAGGTCGAGGACGTTACGTTTGCGACCGTTGTGGAATTCGCTGCAAGAAACCGAGCATGCTGAACAAACATATCAAGTTCGTCGTTTGCTTATTTGCAGAACAAAGATTTCCTAAGAATGTGGAAATGATGTGCGCTCATCTATTTTTTTGAAATTTTCTGTCATAACTTCATTGATTTCTTATCTTTAAAACTATCGCGCACGCTTGTCTTACTTATATAGATGAGGAGTTTTGTTCTGCGACTCCATCATGTAGGACTTGCAGTTCAAAATCCAGTTTCCAGATCCCACACTGATATTCGCCCGTACAAGTGTAAGGAGTGCAATTTTTCATTCAAAACGAAAGGTAATTTTACGAAGCACCTTAGCTCCAAAACCCATCGCCGGCGTCTTGTACAAGGTTAGCCTGCCTTTGTATTGCAGACGAAAATTCTCATGAAATCCTATTTTTTCTTTTACAGGAAATGGTAACGACAGCGATAACGAAGATGGTCTTGTAATTGCAAGTCCAGATGATGACACAGCTGAACAGCGGTTTCCCTTCGATGAGATGGACTCGATCCTGGACAGAGGAGGGTAAGAAACTCTGATATGCTAATCATTTGAGTAGTGACAAGGGGCTGTTTTGTTTAGGAGCTCCGACGAAGAAAACGATGATCACTTACCTCCGGTGCAGGAGTCAGTTGGTAATCCATACCGAAAGTATGGACAAGGTAACAAGTTTTTCCTTGTGTGGTCCTTTCTTAACGTCATCTCTAGAAAATATACTCGTTGAACGTGCTGCTCACACACCACCATCTCGTTGGATGCTTGTTGAAGAGGAGGTTGAGAACAGGTGGCCTGAAGCTGAGCGTATCAGAAACTGCAGCTCGGCGCCACCATCTGCAATTAGCCCCACGAAAGAGGAACGAGAGGACCAAGGTAACAAAAATCTTGTTCTAGTGTACCATTATCTCTCTAGTGATTCAGTGACAACCACGTCAGGGATGACCAGCGTAGTGTCGCTACCAATGGCAACTGTATTATCTGCACCATCGACCTCGTTTGCCGGTCCACAACTGCAGCAACAGCAGCAGCAGTCGCAACCGCAACAACAACAACAACAACAACAACAGAGTTTTGCCGTACATCAGCCGACAGCACCCGTGTATCCCTATCTATCTAAGGAGGTAGTTCTATAACTTCCAATGCCTCAATCCTACAAATGTCAGTTTGATGCTGTTCTCCTGTTTCTGCATTTTTCGGTCTAGACTATCCCTCACAACTTCTAAGGTTGCTCAAAAATTGACCCATTCCAATTTAATATACATTGTGAGTCAAGGTGTCCACGGCAAAAGAGTTCAAGCTTCTTTTTTTATAGATTGATTGTTTAGTTCTTCTATAGCTAAAACTGTATTGTTTCTCTATCATTACATATTACAGGAATCCATGAAGTGCAATCAATGCGATCGATCATTTCGTAAGGCATCTGAACTCACGTTGCATCAATATACTCATGACATCGAAAAGCACCATACTAGAAATAGAATGTTCCAAGTAAGCCCTCGGCCTTTCATTTGCAGTCATAGTGAGACGAAAACACCTCTTTTATTCCACCATAGCGGATCTCATGTGTTTCATAGCTTCTGACATTATTCGATTATGGCTTTTGCTCATTTGGGCTTCTGTTTTCGTTAATGCGCTCACACTGTCGATTAGCTACGTTGCATCTTCTTTCTTCAGTGTCCAGAGTGTCGTATCCCGTTGAGGACCAAGGCGCTATTGGCAAAGCATCTCGAAGCCTCGCACGGTAGTCATGTGAGTCATTCTCTGATCTTCTTCATTACGATTCGTCAAGGCTGAATCTCCGTTGGCTTTTGTCAATATTATAGATGAGTGTTTGTGAAACTAAGCTGCTTTAGGTCATAGGTAACACTCGTATTCCAGATAGATGACAGTGTGACAGCCAGCATTGATCCTTGTGCGTCTACTCAATCCGTTCTTGGTGGATCAGCGCCGATAGCATCAAATCCACGATCATTTGTATGCTCCGACTGCAACATTGGTTTCAGAAAACACGGCATACTTGCTAAGCACTTGAGGTGAGTGATCAGTGTTGTAGTCATGTCACGTCTAATGTAGCTCATGTACAGGTCTAAAACTCACGTCATGAAATTGGAAACTTTAAAACGACTACCTGAGGATTCGCTGTCATTGATCACCAAAAGAGACAATGGAGCGTGTCTGAACGGTGTTGATACGACTGATTGCGAAAAGGCTCGCAAGTCTCTCTATGGTTAGTATGGTATATCAAATGCATGCAATCAACGCATATTGTTTGAACGTGCAAAAATATTTTCTTTTGCGCAAGGTCCGAACAGAGTATGTACCAAATAACCCATTATCGCTGAGTTCACATTTAGTAATGTTTATGTCAGCTTGGTCGTACCGGCGAAGGGTATCAGTTTGGAACACACCTAAAAATCGCATTCAGTAAGGCCCTTTCCACACAACAACAAATAGCCAGTCACCAGAAGCGTAGAGCCTACGTTAGGGGTAAATCCTGCCTTAGCTCGATTTCGGTCATCAGTATAATGTTAATTGAACAACTTTACAAGTTTGACCGCGGGCCATTTGAGTAGGTCATGCTGTTTTGATAAGCATTAATTCAGAAAACTGGACAATTAAGTAAGGGTAATCCCTTATTTTTCTGTTTCCAGATGCGCTCTCCTGTATTTGTGTGTTTGTCATTTTCAGAAATCGTTGAAACAATACGTGCAGAGAATCAACGCGCTTCCATGCAGATGGCTGCAGCTGTGGCGGCGGGCGCAGCCCGACCAGTTGTCCAAGCAGTGACGGTCTCTGATGGTTTAGAGTGCCGCGAACAACTTGCTGCTTCGCCTGCACCTAATACTGTCACTTCTAAGAAAGTAAGAAACTGTTCAGGATGTCTCACTTTATCTAAGCGTTTTCTAGGTCGAACAGGTTTTCAATGGCCAACGATCCGATGGTGATGAAATCATTTTGCAGCCGCGATCATTAACCGAAGCTGTCGCAACCACACTTGCAGCTGACACGAATACCTTACCTCGAAATAGGTGGGTTTGAATGTCTGTTGTAATGGTCTGTGATAATGTATAGATTTTATTTTGGTTTCAGATGCGATTCGGCGATAAGGTCCAATTCCACGAATCCGCTGCGTCGTGATGATGCTCCGAACGTCAAGCTCGTCTCTGCAAATGTTTGGATACCTCCACGTGCAGAAGTAATCACAATTTCTGACAATTTTGACTTTTACGCAATAACCTTTTTAGGAGCGATCCACGTCTTCTCGTGACTCCACTAATATCCGCGCGGTTCAAGAGGTGGTAGCCGAATTACGAGAAGATAATGAGGCAGTGAGTTTGAACGCAGCAATTTTCATCAGTTTCATGCCACCTACCATTCTACTTCCACAGTTTTGACGTTTTGCATGCCGGTGCCCTCTTCCAGGAAAGGAGCACATGCTCTTCACCGGTTCTTCGTATCCTGAGTAGTAATGGCCACGCTTCTTCCCCCTTGATGCCACAGGGCACTAAGTGCCAGATATGTGGAGTGAATGCTGAGTCTCCTATCGATCTACAGGTAATAAACGCTGATTACATTAGTGAATAATTCATCAACATTGAGTCACCAGATCTTATTATCTTAGGTTCATCTATACTCGGATCATATCTCAATTCGAGACGGGAAAGATTTGAAGTGTCCGAAAAGGCATTGTGATAAGGTTTATCCAAACAAGGAGAGCCTAAGACTGCACATTATTGCACACTACCAACAACGCGTCGATGCTACTCCTGGTGCGTTCACTGTTCAATGACTAATCATGATCGCAGTCATCTTGTTTCTCATCTTGCCTTTTATTTATGAATAACCATGGTTGATCTCCTTTTGCATCATTCAGATTGTCGATTATTTGCAGAAGCTCGGGAAGACGACTCGGTCTCGTCGACGTCGGCGATGGCAAGTCGACTGGCCGAGGATGTTGCCGATGCACGTGGTTCACCGATGTCTGACGCCAGTGACGGTTCTTGGCCAAGCCCTGCTAGGTGAGAGGTATTTTCTGCTTCATTGTTCTAATCGGTGCTTATCTACAGCGTAGAAATTGCGCGGTCTGGAGCACCTTCTGAGCCAAAGAAAACTCAAGAAGAAGAGGTGATGCTGAGTTTTATTCTTTGTTGCATGCTGTATGCCTTAGATATCTACTTACCCACTTCTTAACTGATGCGTAGATTTTCAGCAAATGAATCTGCCCTGTACTCTATGCAACAAAACATTTAGTGACGCGGTCTCTTTGCAGCAACACTGGTTCGCTCACGTTTCTTCGAGAATTCATGTTTGTCAGGTGAGTTATGATTGGTATCGGTTTTTTTTTCAATCATCAGCTTAGATGCTTTCCTTCATCGAGTAATATTTATAATTTTTTTGGCCTGAATCTCTCTGGTTAGCTATTATTCTTAGTCGAGCCAACTTCAGTAAAAGTGGTGTTCCATTTTTTTTGAGGGATGTCCCAACTTTCAGGTCTGTGACGCTGGCTTCACCACCTCAGATGCCCTCGCACAGCATTCCCTTACTCATTCGTCGGCGTCGGCCACACGTTGCTAGGTGATGCACAACCATGCGAGTTTTTCTTTTTCTTTTGCAAGACTATTGATATTTTGTAGTGATATGTTGTTTACTGTCTGTTCCGGGTTTCAATGACGCTGTTTCATCTATTTGCCATGTTACTTGTTTGACTGCTCCTTTGATTGTACAAACCATCACTTTATATTTTCGTTTAAAAGTTGAATCAAAAGAATAACATGTGTTTGAGTCATTTGTCAGTGAGGGTGGATTACTTTCTTGATGTGATTTACTTCTTTTGGTGTCATCTTCGCTCATTTTGCAACAATAACTTGTAATTTATAATTTATAGGGCACAATATGTGTTCTTTTGTCAGACACAATGTGCAACCAAATCTAACGTTTACATCTCATTCGTTGTCGTTGATATCCATTGTTGTTATGTTTAGAAAGGGTGTTTGTAACATTTTTTAACTGATGAATTATCGTTTTATTCCAGCGTTTGGTACGTTTGTTGTCACTGAAACACAAGCTGCACTCATTCGCTCAGAAATTTGATGATGCAGGAGCCACGGTCTCTGGAGTGAAAGTACAGTGTGGTAGGTAGAGCTCGCCCAGCTAAAATGGTTCAAGTTTCCACGAGCAGTTTAATCATATCGAATGATCGGGCGGTGGGAATTAGGGCAGATACTTGATTAGATGCTATGACATTGCGGCGGGTGTACCGGCGAGAGCTGAGCTTCGGCCAGACTGCGTTCAGAAGCGCTCAAAAGCGCTCATGTTTCTCTAATGTCCCTTCACTTCTTCATGTGGAGAGAATGGGAGAATTAGAGGTGTTAGGCGCTTTTGAGCGAAGTTTGGTCGGCGCCTGACTTGTACTGCTTGCGGCGACATCGCTTGGCGAATAGATTAGAGTGAATGACCAGCAAACATGGAGGTTTCCCGAATAAGACTTTTTTTGCCTGATCTAGGCAATTGTCAAACGGTCGCACGAGCCTTCATTCTGTCCTCTAACTTTGAAAGATAAGGGAGTTCTATAGCTTCCCACTTCATATAATGCAAATAGCATTTTTTCTGATTATCTCAGCTCAAAATATGCTATGTGTATTTCTTCCAAGTCTTTTGAAATACACGTATGGAACTCGATAAGAAATGGTTGACTTTGTTTTATTGGGAAAGCTTCTATGAGAAAAGGAACACAATAAACTGTGGTCAAATTGGGATCATGTGTTTAGCTTCAAAAATTGTTTTCTTTTACTGAAATCGTGCCGATCTCAAAATGACATATGTCGTGACATTGTTAGATACCTCACTTCGAGAAGATGCTTACGATAAGAAATGGCGAATTCAGTAACCGCATGCTGACGAATTATAATGATGGTGTTTGTGCACATTAAAGGACAAGCAGTAGAAAGTATGTATAGATATATCTTGTATCTGATAAAGAAGATTGCCACAGTGCGAAAGATAGTGAGGAACAATGAAAATTAAGCAGAAGAAATCATGCGCAAACTTCATTTGAGGGCGGAGCCTGTAGCGCTAATAACGCCGACCGCCGAATGAATCCCATCCATCAGTGCTAAGCATGTCTGATATAAACAAATGAATTTTAGAGGGCATATAATGCGTTGAACTAGACAACCTGATGTTCTAATAACTCATTTGTGCTTATCAGAAACATAGCGGTGTTGGGTTAGATAAAAAGTACAACTCTCGGGTGTTCTCATTGACTTGAAAAAAAAAATGATTTTGGGAAAGAGAAGGTTGGCCATCGAATGGGATCAGCAGGGGTTCATACAAAAAACTGGAAAATACGGCTTGTACAACTTCTCGCTTTTCTTCAAAGCGTTTATAGTGAAGGGTAATGAAAACATCTGGAAAGTCAGACTGCGTGAGATCCAGAAGTGCCAGACTTCTCAGGTTCTGCCGATTCATGTGGTGTTCGCTGTTGGTCAAATCACTGATCTGACGAAGAACGAATGGGGTGAACAGGATGATTCGGTTGAATCGGATAAGTCTGGCACTTACCTACCTTCGATTCGTTACGCACAAAGACTGCGAACTTATCGGCGCCTCCGTGATCAAGCGCTCTTTCGTTCCTCTTACCACCTGCTGTCTCTCCCACGCACCAGCTATTTTGGTCGTACGCAATGGCGCCCAGTCTTTGTGCGTTTTGAATCGACGATAACACTGGGCGCGCAACTAATTCCCCCCCCCCTTCCAGGCCGACTACGAAAGTGCAATGAGCATCTGTACCTGATTGTTTGATGTAATCGCCTGCCTTTACTTACTTACTTAGACACTGTGACAGAACGCTGTGAATCACAGAAATGAGCCACTGATGGACGCGATCACTGGTCCATAAGAGGATGTTAGGGTGAACTATTGGTAAGGATGAGTCACTTGCAAACAAGTCACTTGCATATTTTTATAACCTATCTAGTAACTTGCAGAAATTTGTTTTTGTTTCGAGCACGTAGTAGAAAGTAGCGCGCTACGCTCATAAAGTCCGCCAGCCGTGAACTAAGTAAGCAGTCGTTAGCACACAGTTTTCGCAGTACATGCCAAAATTGGCGTGAAGCGCTCTGTATGGAAATAGAGTTGCATCACTTCTACGGTTTGCTATGGTAAAAGCCGTGGCCCGGGAAAATTGCGACTGCGCGCTTTTCACACCTACATGACCTTCTGGATGCGATGAGCCCATTGCTGTGCAAGTAAAAAGTACTTTACGGCATTTTCCTACCAAGGAGACAGCTGGAGGGGATGGGCGAGGGATTCCCGCCATGAACAGCGACTGGCTGCAGACTGTAACTCCACCCATTTTGGCGGTAATTGGCTGATTGGCTCATGCAAGAGATTGCGATGTTGGCAAGAATCCCTCGACCGTCTCCTTCAGTTATCTGCAAGGAAAATGCCGTAAAAAGCACTTGTCTGACATTACAAGCACAGCACTGAACTCAGCACATCCGGAAGGTTATGTAGGTATGGGAAGCTCGCAGTTGCAATTTTCCCGGACCTTGCCTTCAAGGCCTGATCGATTGGGAGGCTGCACAGTCTTTGTCAACTACGTAGTCCCATTGGCATACCAATTCCGCAACGCGAGAGCCTTGCGTGCGGATCTCCACCCGATGAGGCCAATTCGAATGCCCAGATACGCGCGTGTGCGTGGCGCGAAGCTCTGGCAGAATCCAAGGAACACGCGATTGACACAGACTATATTTTGAGCGCAGGGTGGGCTAGAGCACTCCCCTTAGGCAGAATGTTCTTAGTGCAGCAGAAGAGCACGGCCGGAGCACTGTTACGAAGCCTTTTGTGATATGAAAGATTGAAGGGAGAATCGGTGTTGCTTATCAGCTGTCCTCCTTGAAGTTAACGATTGCCTCTGCCTTTCGCAGCTTCATGAGTCACGCTAGAAACGATGTTCCGCCGCTCTTTCCTACGTTGACATTTGGTGGCGTTCCCCGAATTTTCCACCACAAAAGCACTCCAATGTAGTTTTCTCTTGAAGCTGGCAAAGCTTTGCCATTGTCTGCTAAACGCTTATTCCTTTCTAACTTACGGGTAATTTTGAAGTGAACTGTTTACGGTTGGGCTGCTTTCCTTCTTTCACCACAAGAGGTTTGAAACCTCACATGGATCCTATACATGGAGTAGTCTCCTAGATTCCATTCATAATGAATGCATGCAACGTGCACCCTCTGATGCACAGATCTTTGCATTAGTTTGCAAATGCAAACAATGGCGGAGTCGGTTTGTACTCGTCGCGCAAACCTGAGCCATAAATCATTTCCTTCTCTAAATTACCTCCATCAGAAGCATGAACGGCTTCGAACGGCCACCTCTTCGAGTGAATAGAAATTTTTTCTACGAATCGGAAAACATCTTCAAACTGCTTGAAATTGTGAGTTGCTCATTTCACTGTTGAATGTACGTTTGTATGTCTCAAGAGAAGAAATCTAACTAGAGCTCTCTAGAAAAATTTGTGGCTTAGTCAGAATTGCGCACATTGATTAGGGTAATCTCTTCTATCGAGCATACATCGGGAGGATATCAAGTCGGTATGATATCCACGATAAACGTTGACTTGGAGTTGCTAAATCATCACTTCCGTGGCAGCATCATCTTAAATTTAGATCTTGACTCCAAATGACACCGAACGCTTTACGCAAAAAAGTGAATATATCGTAACTTATTTCTACTCTTATCATAATTCAATGTCAAAACTTCATCGATTAGTTAAACATCGTGAATATGGTTTGAGTTAGATTTCCTGCAAATTTGTTTCACTGTCTCAGAATATATCCTGAGATAATCACAAACTTCAAAAAGTGGATGTACAAAATGCTGTCCAATTGTATCTAGTAGCGGCCCTTCGTGTAATCTGCACAATGACATTTTGGCTGACTCCTTTTTTTGTAAGATCTCATTGGTAAGAGTTCTAATCTCGTTTTTGAAGTAAAAAATTAGTTGCACCAAGAAAAAAATTGGTGATTCAACGAAGTCATCTATAAACACTGGATAATATAAATGAGAAACGTGCAGGGCTTTTAATATCCTTAAAAAATCATATATTGGTGAATCAGGTTTTGATTTGCCGTCCAACATAACCTCACTATTGAAACACACTCTATGCGCCTACAAACATCTACGAATCATAAGTGTTACCGTAGAACTACCATACTTAGCGATGCATCCAACATGGGATTGGTCTATTGAGAACTTGAAAAAGTTTGTAGTAATGAGTCCCATTGAGCCGTACTAAGCAAAATTCAGTTTTTGAATACCTCATGTAGATGGCCATCAACTCAAGGACTAAAACATCTCAACCTTTGATGATTTTCCATCACGCGTAGTCATGAAATAAAGTTCGAACCAGTTAATAATCTAAGTAATCAATCATTAGAAATATTAGTTGTATTTATAAGTTTTGGTAATTTTATCATGATACTGCCAGCAAAATCAACAACATGTATTGTAGTCATCTGGCAGTAAAGAGCTACTTAAAAGGCCCAATTATATAAACCGAGATAGCTAAGCTAAGAAGAGTGTAATTCTAGGCGTTGGGTATATGTTGCGCCATATTCAATGCGCAATGCTTTCCAAACGACGTCGTGCTCAGATGTACATACACGTGAGTGAATTCATAACTTTTCAAACATGGATTGACAAATATCTTCAGAATGCATTCAGTTACTCAACTATTCTCAGTTGTCTGTGTAAATGCGTTTTTTCTTGTGACCACCACAGCTCTTGTATTATGCAATCTATTTGGTGTTGTGGACTCCTACTACAAGTTCAATTTCCCTGTCGTTGTGAGTAGATGCAAGTTTACGAGTTTACTCTTGTGGTTCAGTAATAGAAAAAATGTTTCTGCTTATCCCTACTGCAGGAGAGAAGAGTGTATCTGTTGACTGTGATCATGTACATAGTGAGCTTGATAATGGTGATAGCAGCAATCTCACAGTCGAGATTTGTGTCGGCTTGGGTATTTCCGCTGGTGAGTCACAGAATTGTGCCAGTTCTAGATTTGTTCTACCTGCTATGCTATACAATCTTACTCATCCATGTATACATGTATGCAAAGTTTCCAGATATTCACCGCCCTCACTACGGTTACTTACGTATATGACCTCATTCGCAAATATGACGGGTCACCTTAGACAGCAGTTTGCCCAAACTGTACTTGAAAACAGAGCTAACATATTTATCCGTATAGAAAATAAAACATAAGAATACATGTATTTACAGCAAAGATTTTGTTAAGGCAGAATGCTAAAAGCACTAGCAAAGTTTGAGATAAACTGATCAAGAGATCGGCAATGGATTTATCATACTGAAGTGTTTGCTTTTTTGGCAGCAAAATGTCCTAAGGTATGGTCGTTGTAGTGTTTGATGTACGCGTAGCCGCGAGATTCACAACGGTGTCCACGAGGTTTGAGTGGTTTTCGTGGACTGCTTGAATAGAAATGATTTTTGACCAGAAGAAATGCTGTTCAATCTCTCTGATACTAAACTTGTGGCTTGTAAGATTGTAATTACTACAGATGTCCCAAAAAGATGTGCACACTGTTTGATCGGTAATTACTCTCTTGCTTTCACGTCTTTTGCCGAGCTTGAGATGCCATTCTGTAGAGCGAGGTTCAACTTAGACTTACAGTATGGTGCAAATCAGCAATCATTCTTCATTACTGTAGGATTAGGTATGAACTTTCAGCATACAGCGTCACTGTGGAATAGACCTTTTGATGAAATAATCTCAAAAAACTTTGAAAATTCGTGTAGCAAGGCTTTCAGGCGTGCTGATTTCACTACATGACTTTTCACCAGTTTTTCCGGCTTTCTTGATGGCGTATTCACATTTCTGACGAACATTGGAAAAACAGTTGTTACCTTAAATCTGAAATAAGTTATGAAAGAAGTACTAAACTGAAGTGCAAATTTCGTATTTAGGATTAGCGACTTCGACTAGCCTACTTCAAAAGTTTCTGGCTTGTTTGGCTTTCTTTCTGAGGAAACACTGCTCTTAATGGCTCAAAATCCTCCTCGAAATTTCTACCGTAATTCTACAGTAATGAAGAGTGATTGGTGATTCGCTCCACACTGCAAATCTAAGTTGAACCGCGCTTTACAGAATGATACCTCAAGCTTGGCAAAAGACAGAAAGCAGAAGAGTTATTAATGATCAAACAGTGTGCACATCTTTTTGGGACAACCTGTATTTCGTGAACCCCTAAAATTGTATTGACTGTACAACATGCCTGATTCTTTGCGTTCTTTCTTCACGGGATCAATTCGCGGTATCATAGTTTTCGAGTCTTCATCATCACTGTTTTTACGATCTGAAAGTTTCGCTCTTATCCGATATCAAAGTATGAAAAAGAAAGCCAATCCCCAGTAAGTTTTTTATATCAACTGAAAACGGTTGCAAGATGTTTGTAGAAAAGATCTAAAACAGATTATCCCTAGTAAAGACCTAAGATTTGACCTGACAAATTGACAAATGCATTCCTGCGTGCGCCGATTGGATTAGAATCAAGAACATGGGCATGTCGTCGCGCTTGTAATCGAATCTGAACAAATGATAGAATGGGATTCTTAGAGACGAGCTCTACAATCACTGCAAAAGAAACCTGCTCCACAGGAAGGACACGTCTTCGCTTTTTCGGAAGCTTGTCTCGAGCTTGAGTATGCGAATAAAACATCGCAAAATTGGATACGATGACCTGAAATGTTCGGATTTGATGGAGTTTAATATAATCAGTTTTCAAGGATGCAGTAAATTCGAAAGTGTGCTTTTCTAATTGCTTTTCTGCAGACCTCTATCATTTTCGGATCTCCTATTGCTGAATTTTATTAGACTGTGCTTCGCTGCTTGTTACAATCAAATTTGATTTTGCAAGATTCAAAAGTGCTAGATGGCCGGAGGCCCCGCCCCTTGGGTGTGACTGGATGATAAAGCAGATCGGATAATTACTATTCAAGTGGGCGGGCTTCCAACCCCGCCCATTCCACGTGCGTTTCATTCACAAAAAAAAAGCAAAGGGTTTTCTTCAAGTTCTAAAGAACGATTTCTGTCTCGAAGCATTAGAAGATCCAGAATGACGTATAAACAATATTCAAGTTTGTTATAATTTTTAGCGCAGTAGTCTTCAAAAGCCAAAAGTCTAAAAATGCAGCCTAAGCATTTCAAGCTTCAAAGTGCGGCTATCTGCGTATACCACGTACGAACAAGGAATGCGAACATAAGAGTATCGATGACTTTTTCAAAGACTTTTTAGATTGCAGAGGAAAATTAAATGCAAAGAATAGATTGCAAGTGAATCACCGGCACTGGAAGAGCAATTGTCAAGACGCCCATGACAGCACATAGCGAGCCAACAAGTCTTCCAAACGACGTATGGGGAGTCATGTCGCCATAACCGACCTGAAGTTAGCGGATAGAATATCAAGATTTGGATAAAAATCAGCACTAAACAAGAGAACAGACTCACTGTAGTCATGGTACATATCGCCCACCATAATCCTAATGGAATAGACTGAAATTGATTGTCTGGATTGACTTCCATCTTTTCAGCGTAGTAAACGAGAGCAGCAAATATAACAATGCCAAGAATGAGGAAGAAAACCTGAAAAAAGAACCATTAAACCGAACTGAGTCTCACATGAGAATTTACATACCAGCAAGATCAGCTCTTTAGCACTCGCTCGAAAAGTGTGAATCAAGATCTGCAGACCACGATGATGTTGAGTGAGCTTGAATAATCGAAATATCCTAAACGATGAAGTAATTGTGTTTAAGAGAGCAAGCGTCAAAGTAGAAGTCGTATATATCAAAGTAAATGTTAGATATAATCCATTTCATTAAAAAGGATGTCTATTTATAAGAGAATGTTTCTACAATATGCAAAAATGACCTAATCATAGAAAGGAATTCTACGACGTCTTTTGGAGCATCCTCCAGCAGTCGGATAAATATAGCATCCGCATAGAATGACAATGTTGCTACCTGCAATAATTAATTATGATAAGCAAGTTTCTATTTTTGAATTTTTTTTCGTTGTGAACATTAGCAATACCTTACCAGGTCAATATTGTTGAGCGGTGATTTAAGAAAACCCCATTTGGAAGGACAGAATATAAATCGTATAATAATTTCTAGCGTAAACCAAATATTACAGATAAGTTCAACCTGGAAAACAGTGTTAAGTAAGCTCTATCTTCGTCTGGAAACATTTACAAACATGACCGAAGGCGACATGTGGTTCGGTCGTTTGCCGTGTGACACCGACTACCGAACGGCCATGATATGTCACATTAGTGGTTTCAATCACTGGTATACGAAAGCTCGGATGAGTTTTCAGGCAGAACGAAAGGATCGACACGAATATGAAACATACGGAGATTCCAGCAATAATCTGACAAAGACATTATAAGAAAAACTAAGAATACCCTTTGTAGAAGACTTTTTACTTTGGCTGAACGCGATGAATACGGTTCATCGAATAGCGCCCATATCCTAGGTTTGTAGTACATCCATTTGGTACGCTTGCCCTAAACTGCTAAATCTTATATACTCTCCAGGTTCTCCTAAACAATCTTTGGTTTCTCTAACTTTTTAAAAGCATGAGCTTGTACTACGAGTTCTGCAATTCGCAGACTCGAAATTACAAAGATATGACCTCAAAATTGCTCAAACAATAAAATGGTCTCTTCCCTTTCGAGTCTTCTGATTTGGTTCAAGCAGAAAAGTTTCATGTCCAAGCAAGTGCTGGAATAGTCAATGTTCTACATTGTGTGAAGAAGACCTTCGCTGTTGTTTGTTATCTCGTCACAGCACTGCGAAATTTTAATGAAAGAGGCGAAACGAGTAGGCAAAGGAGGGGCTAGAATCTAAGGAATACATAATCAGAGTCAAGAAAGCAATAAGGGCCTTCTGAGTCCTAACTTGTAAAAAATGATGTGCCTTTTAGGATGAATGAACTAAGAAGATATACGCTCTCTTCCTTTGCTACTGCTTCAGGAATTTTTAGCCTAAAATAGGTTCATGAAAGATTGGTTCAATAAGGTTCAAGATTAACATCACGGAGAAACGAAATAGCCCAAAACGGCTTTGTATGAAGCACTCGTTTGGCACATATCAGACCTACTTTAGACGTTCTGCACTTGTTTCATCCACGTTTCCAGACTACCGTAACTCTTAAAATTTTTGCAGTAATGTTAACCTTCCAACTAGCACTGAAAAAGGACTTTAGGTCACCTGAAAATAATCTTCCTCCCATCCAAATTTTTTCATGGTATCTTGTTCTCTAAGTTGAGGATCGTCCTCTCTGTCGACATCCATTCTATCAAGTACGGCTAATGTTTCCTGCGTGTCCCTAGGAAAGAAAATGAACTTACGGACGATAGAGATAATTATCTGCACGAATGTTCCAAAAAAATTACTTTGCATGAAGTAGCTGCATCCAACAACAAGGTTCCGTATCACTAGCATCAAGACCCCAATATTGGAGTTCTTCCTCGAATAATGGGCCGCAAACATCCGTTGGATAGTGCAGCTTACCCGTTCGATAATAATTAAGTACCTGCGTTGTAATAGCTGTAATTACTGAGAAGTTCTTTTTATGAGGCGTGTACCTGTGCGAACACAGCTGGGTGCCTATCAAAAAAATACTCATTCAGTAGAGGATCGAAATTCGCGAGTGATGGCGTCAAGCTAGAAAAACGATGAAATTAGCTGTGCTAAAAAGATCCGGAAATTGTTCACAAAGGAAATATCTAGATGTAGCTGATATGAATGATTGGTGTCAGCTGCTGGAGCAAACTCATAAATGTAGAAAATGGGTGTGTCGACAAGGCTGATTGTATCGAGAATGTAATATGTGCAAAAGAATATATGAGATGTGTTGTTCATAAGGGGAGGGGGTAGAGGAGGCGGAAACAAGTCTGTTAAAGTATGACTTTTCTCCACTTCGTGACCATCGTTTGAGCGAAAATCACAAGGTCAGGACAATGAAAAGCTCTTAAATTTGGGCTATATTGAGTATAAAGAAGCAGGAGGAAATTCTAGGAGTTAACTGAGAATTGCAAACTTACCGGCTAAGGCGTGTAGCTGGAATTTTCTTGAGTGTAGCTTGATATGTTTCGTGTCGCACGCCGCCAACGTTTAACACGACCCTTTCGTCCATAGGAAGGCCTAAATCACACACATATAGCGTGTCAAAATCAGAATAAACAAAGAAATACATGCAATAAGGGTGGAAAGGGGAAAGAATCAGGCAATTAGATGTTTACGACTTTGAATAAAAGAAAACGGAACGGCATTGTTGCACGGCTTTTCCTGATGTGTTCGACCCGCTCGTATTAGCTATTCAAGATGCGGCTAAATGAAAACAAGTCAAGAAAAGACGTTCACGCCAGTCAACCAGAGTCCATCTCAGCGTGTTGCGATGCTTTTCAGCATCTCTTTACTGAACCTAAGCTCTCGTCCTCTGCTTTGTTCCGCCACGATCAAGCAGATTTCGACAATATATATCCCAAGAGGATGCACCTTTTCCCTTGAGTTCTCAGATTTTGTTTCTTCTCGAGAATAGTGATGCAAGCATTACAAACAACTAAAATAGCCTTGTTCTAGTCCGTCACTCATGTTTACAAGATACGAGAATTGATCAAGATGTGTTGAAATCTGAGATCTAGCATAACCAAAGAAAGACCTTCTGCTATGAGGAATATATATATGTGTAGTTCTCACTTTTGTCAAAAATAAGAGTGCATTCTGATATAGCGTAAGACATCGGCAGCAGCGTAAGCACACTGACATTGGATTTGGCGGACGTTTGAGGTCATTACTGAGCAAAGCCCGAGATCTTGAATGAAATGAACCTTGTAGTAGCTTCTACCTTTCGGCGATTTAAGGGACAGGCTAAAGATATGTGAGGGTTTTTGAGGTAGTAATGAACAAGTATGTGAAGTAAGAGAACAGGCGCTTCTGCTCAACGAGCCAAACGAGATCTCTTTCAGCGGGCGAGCAGATGAGGCAAAAAACTTGAACCACTAGAATGCTAGAATAAAAGAAATCGTATGGTTGAGATGCAGAGATTTGCTAAGAGGGGTACATAAACGTACATAAACGAATCCCAAGTGAAATAACCAAAAATACAAGAAATAGTAGTAGTATGCGTCACAAGCATCTATTGGAAAGATGACCTTAACCAGAGCGCTCGTATCTGCAGTTGCACTTTGCTATGCTTAATGAGACTTCTCCAAAAATTGTTGGAAGAAAATTGACATGAGTTACTTCCTGCTTTTTTATGAAAGGCACAGTTAAACTCAAAAAAATACATAGTTGCGGTAAGTTCGAATGTCACAACATTTGTCGGCTTCGACTCGTGTAAGAACCTCCGAGAAAAAGTGAAGGGCATTTTGCAGTGCCTCTAGGGCTATTTGGAAATTATAATAAACCTTCGTGAAGTAAATTTAGAAGCTAGAATTTCTTCTTTAGGGGTGACGCGACAAAATGAAATCATTATTCGACGCTCTTCAATAAATCAGGAAGGGGAGTATCTCTGAAGTGCAATATAGTTTAGAAAAACTTGTAATAATGTGGCCGATTTGCACACTTGATGAATAATTTTCGTGTCTGCAAACTCCTTAAGCACGAATCTCACCAACATTGAAAATTTCCACCAAATGCCATATGTAGTACGATTGAATGTGAATCAATTGCTCTACGTATATCCACAATCAAACAATGAGCACAATTAGTTTCTCTCTTGAGGACTTCGCCAGAGATGAAGTCTTTTCTTTCAAGACTCGGTCTAAGTGCTTGTGTGCACCAAGAGAGTGAATTTGACAATTTGTGTTTGCACTCGATTAACTCAATATTCCGGAACCAAGACTGCTCCAAGATTAGGAGTGCAACGTTATTGAAGCAAAATGTGGGCAGTGTGCCAAGTAGCAGTAGTCTAGGGCGGAAGCGGAAATCAGATCGTGAACGGATACAAAACTACAAACGGCTATTAACATTATATGCATTTTGAATTACTTTCTTGTACCTCTGGATTTCTGACATATTCTCGCAAGATGTGACTGTAAATACAGAATTTGCCTGTACCTTAAATCGTATCCATATTTTTGCTGATGAATAAACCATAATACTAGATTTGTGTGAGATAGAAAACAGTTCTGGAAACCTGTTTTGCATGAGATAACAATAGAAATTAGCGTTAAACAGAAACTACAAATTGAACATGAAAATGAACAAGGAGTAAGCTAACTACGTGCACTTCTGAGAATTACAAAACAATTCCATCCGATTAGCAAATAGAGAGTACGAATAAATTCACAAAGGCTAACTACATGCATTTTGAAGGAGAATAGAAAATTGTCTTGTATATGCACATTTGAGAACTACTTTTTATGCGACCTGGAAGTCAGTTTATGTTTGTCAAATATAAATTGTTGTTGCAACGTGCTGAAATTGTGGAGCCTAGTTCAATTATCCGGATGAAATTAAAGATTAGAGGAAAAAGGTGTTTTCCGAAGGAGTAATTCAAAAAATTTTCTTCCCCCGTTCAACAAATTTTCAAATCCTTCGTGATTAATCGATATTTTCATTAGGTTTGTCGTTATGTAAAATTGAGCGTATCACAATGGGAAATCTAAATAAATGGTGATATGACCATAAGGTGACATTTGAAAAAGAAGCAAAAAGCTGACTAACGTTTCATTCTCGTTCTTTCAGAACTTATATAAGCGAAAAACTCAATATATGTATATATCCAAGTCACCTTTGTTATGTGCAAGTACAGAGAACCTCTTTTTGATGCTGGGAATAGTGACCGAAAATCTTTTTAAGCGCGAGGATAAAGCAAATACTTCTATCATTTACTTCTGCATGTTTGAGTTTGGTGAGGATATAAATGCCAGTCTTGAAATTCGTTTGCTCTCATATAAGCTTAACTTACTTTGCCCTGCGCTTATTCTTTTAATTGCTGATCGAGGCAAGTACAAAGGAAACCTTCTTCTTTCCCTTCTGTCCTAAAAATAACCCCATTTGAGAAGCAAACTTTCCTCAAAAAGCGAACCTGACGTCACTAACTGCAACTAACTCTCTCTGCAGTCTTTTTTCGATGTCCGCAAATCAAATTTGTGTGTAACTTTGAAAGTACAAGACAAGGGAGCGACTGTACTAATCTCGACTTCTTTAAGGTGTCTCCTGCTGCCTTATAACTTCCATCTTTCCTCTTTGACTCTGTTCGAAAAATGACTGCTATGGCCGCACGTAAACATTTGTTAACATGTGATTATTTGGCATTCGACGAGCTCATCAATACAACAAAGCTCCCTTGTTCTCGTGAATGAAGCAGGACCTCATCCTCTTACTCGGGCTTTGAATAATTTTCTTGTTGTCAGCATTGGAGAAGAAGCTAGCATGCCAATACATAACGCATCCGTTCCAACGGTTCCGCATATAGCTGAAATGTGCTTAGCGAATAATTTAGTGAGACTACAGTCACGATCGAAGAAAGGCAAATTTTCTGACTTGTGTGGAAACTTCAATAAAGCTTGGGGCTGAGTAAAATTCTGAGACGAAGGCGTGGAGGGGGGGGGGGGGAGGTGGGGGATATGCGGCAGATTACCTTGCTGCAAAAGTGATGATTTGCAATTACCCAGTCAATCTACAGTTATTAGCTTCCAAACTCTACTCCATATTATCGACTATGTTTTGATAATGGGCAGTCTTCTCATCTGCATTCTGCTACACTCAATAACAATTTTACCGGCAAAGAGACAGAAAAATAAATTCTTTCGCAAAAACTTGGGTTAATGTAGATTACCTATGTATTAAACTGAATGAAACTTGATCTGCTCGACCAGTACCAGCACCAGTACACTAATTTGGTAACAATAAATTTGAAAGAATAGATGCATCGAGTGTTTGAAGGCTGAAGGTGATGGATTGCAGTACTTAATGCTTCGATAAGGCAAAATGAATGGATATAAAGGAAGGAATGAGTTCCAATCAAAGCTTCTTAACCAGAATACTTACACGAAAATCTACGTCCATCGTCGATAACAGTGCTTGTCGTCGAACTTCGATGCTGATACCACATTTTAGCTGATGTTGACTTGCCGAAGCTCGTCGACGACGACGACGCGGAGTTTTTAATATATCCTAGCGACGTTGTGGAAGGCGGTATAGTGTGATTATTCAGATGAGGTGTCGAACGAGTGTGAGGATTAGTACAACGTGGTTGTAGAGCGAGATGAAGTAGCTAAGGTCCTTGAAAGCGAACACCTAGGCCGAACACAACGAGCCGTGCCGAGCAGAGTTGCTCCCGCCCTCCGAGCCGAGTTAACCCACCGAATGAGGACCGAACCCACCTAGGAATTGCCTGCTCCATGCACGTATGAAGCACGCATACTCGAAGTAAACACAAGTTTAAATGGTTTAACTCGCGATGATTACCTCTAGCACGCACTGAAAAAACTTTGAGAGAGGAAGACTTGGCTTTTACAGATGAGGCTTCAGTAAATTTTTTAGATGCTAGTATTGTTTCATATTCTACTACCACTTTCAAAACTGCTTAAATACATATCATCATTGAATAAGCGCGTTCTCGTAATTTTGACGAATACTCCTGACCATCGTCTTATTTCTCAATTTGAACCAACCTTTTTCGCCGAGACAGTCACTTCCACGGCGAGATATTCGCGAAGATCTGATAGAAGCGAATCTGTTTGCAAACATAACAGCCGTTGACAGGTGCAGTGAAGAAGATGAAACTTTCGAATAGGAACTGACTAGGTATCAACAAAATAATAGCGAGAGATCGAATAATAGGCGAGCAGCTGAGGATGTCAGACTTGCTTCTGCTTCAAAGAACTTGACTGCACTTATTGGATGGAATCCGCTGCAAATCCTAATGACATTCATAGAAATGTGGCTTGCTTTGCTGAGGAATCTAGCGTCTTGGGAGTTCATTTTCACATCAGAGTATCATCCACACAAAAATTTGTGTTGATATACTTCTTCACATTACCCAAACATGTTTTGCTAGATGCTCGCTATTGCTCCATCGATAATGTCAGAGGAAAAGTTATCGAAAAAAAGACAAAGAATGTACGATAGCCATGTGTGGATTAGGTGCCCGCGGCTAAATATGGAAAGTAGACTCATTATTATTACAGAAGGAGTTACCGGGTCAAGGAGTGAAGGAAGTGCAAGGAGCATGATAAAACAGATTTCAAACGTCATGGGGCTCTATTTCTGACATGACTGACGTGACCTTAGTGAGGACAACTTGTTCGAAGTTTCAAGCGAGAAAACAAGAGCACCAAGAAGCGCTAGACCAGGATTGTACCAGCCCCACTGCCCCGAATTAAGGTTTCAAGAATGAGAACAATAAGACAAAATCTACTCTGTGACTCGTTGCTGAGCAACTCAGTGATCCTTGACCAAGGATGCGCGGTGAAATGCAAACGTTCAACAACTCTCAACGAATATGTCCGCATGCGGATGTGATTTCATCTCAATCTTCTCCGAAATAGCGACCTCTTGAACCTTCAATAGGAAGTCGGTTGTGGATAGTGATGCGCTGAAGTGACGTAACAAGCTTAATTTCTTCTGGTGACGAGATGAGAGCGTGATTTAATTGGATCATCTTGTTATACTTGTTGACTATTGACCATTTATGGAATTCTTAACCGTAGTGAAGCGGCAGCTCTTCAAATATATAAACTCGAAGTTTAAAAATTAGATCTGACCTAAGTCATCAAGAAGCTCGATCTTATAGCAAAGAAAGGAAAAACTGTGATAGGATTTCTTTAAATATAAATTCGTTTCGTGTATTTGCGAAAGGCAAAAATGAAGGAGGCTAACAACGAAGTGATAGCTTTGTTTTATGGAAACATGATTCTGTGATAGGTCACAAAGAAAAGTAGGCTAATAAGCATATGTTTTAGCAATAAAACTGCCAAAATTTTCCTTAAACCTGCATGCTAAATTAGTCATTTCTGTTGTTTTGTGCCTATTACGTATGTGCAGAAAAGAGATCTCAGTACTAGCAAAATATTAGTAACTGGTAAATATCCATTGTTCTGTGGCAAATCTCTGTGTGATACTACACAATTTGCAATTTCGCCGTTCTGCTTATCTACATATAGCTATAATAGGGATGTGAAATCATTCAAGTGTAATGTACAAATACGAAAACAACTCCACAAAGGTGTGAAATATCATGCAAATTAAGCAAATGGACGATGAAATAGTAGCACATAGCTTTTTCTAGAAGAACCAAAAAAAGGTTTGAACGTGGAAACAAAGCAAGAGCAAGAAGCCGATTAGTATTTGCTTATGAGTCTGAATAGCATTGATCGATGAGTTGAAAAAGAAATATTGCTCATGGAAAAGCTTCAGACGTTGTGGCAATCCGAAAATTGGTGTAAACTCTGAATTTTTTTTTTGTTGTTGGTGATTCATGATGCATATGCTATATACTCGATTTTCATGTGAAATCTGATTTCTGCAATCGCTGCGTCTTCATTTTGTTAGTGAAAACGCAGGGATAGTATATAAAACAAACAGAACAACGAAAATTTCTTAAGAAATTAAGATAACTCTTAGAAAACGTCTATCTTCAGTCAAATCTTCATCATATTTCATCTTATGTCATGCAAAATACGCTACCCTCAAAAATATAACGACGTATGATATGCTAATCACCACTTCCGTCCCGTCACCGCCGTTGTGAATAGGTGGAATTATCCGTGAAAATACTTAAAATATCGAAGCTGTTGTGAGCGGACACAATCAGACATAGACTTGATAATTCACGTTATAGAGTGCACATTTTGCTTGATGTGTTTACATGAAATCACACTAGTAGGGATGCCACTCTGACATCAGAACATGTCATGACAATCTCTTATCTTCAGAGGCTAGTCCAGAAATAAATATGTCCAAAAGCTGGGCAAAGCTTAGTCAATGCTTTGCTTTATAATGCTTTTTCATTGATACTTAGGAGATCCTTCGAACTGTTGTATTGATGCCTACAAGATTTGAGTAACCTTTTTTATAAGTAGAGGTTCTTTTCTGGGTATATTCTTTTGCAAGCAGACATAATAGCATTGTCAAACTTATGATTTCGAACTGCTGCTAGTCTAGTTTTTCATCTTGAATGGTATTGGATTGCAGTCCAGTAAAAAATCATGGAGTATTTCAACAAGATTCAAAGAAATTGGGGGAAGCAGCGAAGTGAAAAAAAAAGATTACAAATATAGCAGCCAAATTAAGTCGCAAAAAAATCTCTCAAACGCGAAGATCGAAATCCACAGGAAAAATGCCTTTCGCCTACAAATCAACAAGGAATCGTTTTTCTTCAACCATAGGAAAGAACAAGAGCAGATATTGAGAATATGCGAAAGGCTTTGGATTAACAAGATGTAGATTGGAAATTCTCACATGTGCGTGCGATAGGTGAAATATGAGTTCGACATGGTTTCTCACGATCTATCCTCACTCACTTGCTGTTCGTTGTGTAGTTCTTTCCCGGCTCAAATAAAAGCTATCGGTACGACGTCCCTCTCGGCATAGATCCATTGAATTGCGATTGAGAACATTGTTGTGATGACGTCGATCCAGTCGAAATGGTAATGAACCGCTCCGTTTTGATGGTCCTGGATTTGACTTCATGACGAATCTGTAAAGGTTAGGTTAGCCAAAATACGCAGTTCAAAGTGGTGCATAATGAAACGAGGGCAATCACGAAAGCTTGTAAAAAGTTCCTCAGTCTACTATAAAAAATTTGCACATGAAGAAAGCAGTGTGGATTCATACGGAGTATGACAAAATGTCTAAAGGCTAAATTCAATCACAAATCACGCGATCAAAGTTGTTGCGATGAAACGCGAAGAAGTAAGGAAACTTGTAGAAAGTTTTACAACCGTCCGTTGAATTCAGTATGTTAGTTGAGGCAAAAGTTTATACTTCTTGCTACGGAGCATTTTAGGCAAGCAGCAGAAGTAATTATCAGTATCACAACAACGACTTACAAATATGAGACGTCTCATTACAAGATTCTACGCTAACGAGGGATAATTAGCTAGGCTGCCATTATAAGCAAAGAGTTCTAAACAGCAGCATACAAATTACTAGTATCCGCATAGAGTGGAGCATATATACATAAGAATGCAAGCCCATACAAGAAGGACAAATGCTAAGAGAAGACCACTCTTGAGACAAAGTTGAGCCCTTAAACACGACATGACTCCTCATTTAGCATCTCCGGCTGAAATAATATCATTACAGAGTCTTACGACAACCACCAAGGAGAGGTGTAGGATGATATAACTTGTTTGCTCGACCTTTCTTCTCGAAGAAGATGTACTATGTAATGAATAGTAGAGCTATAAGCTACCCACTGTGATACAACAATTATGTTAAAGGCAAATTTGTCGCACATTTATGAAAATATAATCTGAAGAAGAGAAGTAATCTAGAACAGTGTATTAATGCGAAGCACTGGCAATACATTAGATTATTCAGATAAGCGACTTCAACTTGATTTAAGCCATGTACTCATATGAATCCAATAATTGTGCCTACATTTGCATACTTTTTACAACCATAACCTGGGAAACACACTAGAAAGTCAAAGGAATCTGATGCACCGTCTACGCCAGAGAAAATTGACTACAAAACAAGCTTATACAGCTAGACATAAATTTTACACAAATGTTCTTGCCACACTGATGACAAATGCACCTTTTTTGCTGCACGATTCTGAGGAAAAGATCATGGGACGTTTCGAAATGCGAAGAGTATCTAATGACATACAAGAACAAGAAGCAATTTGAAATTACTTGTTTGAGTGTTTAGTGAGTGTGCTTTTTCATCGTAGCCTATAGTCAAGGTTCAATACTTCTTTTACTTACTCTTAGAGTGACCTCGTGGACATTGTTCTCCAGGAACCCAGTAAGTTTGCACTTTCACAACTCACGGCTTCTCCTAGATAATTGTTCGGCAATATTAAAAGCTGGTTCGAAATCGTGATTCGAGGCGCAATGTTGCATCAAGGTAGACTGCTACAATTAGAATATGATAGCCGAGTCTTCTATCAATAAGTTGATATGAGGTGTTAAAATGCAAAAAAAATTATGATTCAGAACTCTTTCATGTTACTAGATAACAAAATCGAAGGATCGACAAAATACGTAAAGTTACAAGCTGCTCAAAAGCATTGTATCCTATTGTACACATTTGCTGTGAGATTCCAGATATAAACAACGAGCATCGGTCAAAATGGAAGTAAAGCTCTTGAACAATGACTCTCACGACATTTTTGTAGTTTTAGGAGTACGAACGGGATATAGAGCACTACATATTAGAAGACAGAAGTCAAGTTAAGAAAGGTATCAGGCTACATCGTCATCTATTTACGTGAGAATGGAGCCAAGATTCTGGAATTATAGTATTTTACTTTTCGGAAAGTCATTCTAAACGCTACCTCCAATGTTTTCATATAATACTTGAACAAGCAACACCCTGAAATTAGCTCCCGACCAAGAAAATTAGGGAAAAATAGTTGAAATCGAGCTTCCCCTTAGGCTCCGCCTACATGCATAGTTACTGCTTTTGTATGTGCATTATTTTCCATATTGGTATGCAATATGCCCAGTTTTCTAAGCTACTATAAATAGGAAACGCGAAACTGAACTACCGCATTTCTGTCACGAATATGATATTCTCCTGTGCCTGTAACTGCTACATACTCATAGAGGACAAGCGGTTTCTAATCCCTGAAAATATTTGGCAAGATTGTTATTAGCAAGCAGTCTACTAGATCATCTGCTACTGCTATAGCCTTAAAACACCACAATCTTCAGGACACACTCAAATAGGACGGAAAGACAGCTTTCTAAACAAATCTCTTCCCAAGAAATTGAGTTCACTGCTTGTATGAGCGTTTGAAAAAAGTTGATAATCTCATATTCACAGCTGTTTCTCACATACTTTCCTTTTTAGATTTCTAAACGCTGGATTATACAGTACGCATAGTAGCCTGTAAATTTTAGCAAGGCTAAAGAATAGAAATTAGCTTATGAGAAGCAACAGTATTGTATGGAAATCAAGTCATTATTAAACTAACTCTGTATCTTCACCATAGCCCTGCAATACTTTTTCACGACACCATCTGCATAAACGGATATATGAGGAATGATTTTCAGTCATCACATCCACCTGTGATAAATTAGTTAATTTGTTCATATGCATAATTACGGATAGACACGAATATGTCAGCAACGTTTTAGTGTATAATTTTGCGTCAACATGAAAAATGGCAGCATGCATCGAATGTAGAAAGACATTGACTCCAACAAGTATCATAACAAGACTCAACAACAGTCATGCATATTTCATGGGTCTTTCCTCTTTTGAGCCTTTTTCTCTAGCACTTAGCAGCAAGTTCTTCGTAAATTACTGAGATTGCCGCGTTTTGCTTCAGTCAGTCGCAGTACTCATATCATGAAACTGAAAAACCCAAGATTTTTCGAGTTATAGCTTCGCGGCTTTTTCAAGAATCTCAGTCGCTTTGTACAAGTAAGCTATCTATACATTAATGTAGAAAAATTTCACATTGGTGTGAATAAAGCTTGCATTTTCTTGTTCGTTTTCCACATTTCAAGCTATCGCAGAGACAGCTAAAATAAGAAAATTCAATTCAGTTTCCACATAACAAGAAGGAAGAAATTATCTCTTACGAATTCTAATCATGTCGTCGTATAACATTGCACAGAAAGCTAAAGACCCCATGTATTGAAGTCTGAAGGATGAGGAAATTGCGGCGAAAGGCGGTTCAGTGATGCTGGGCTGTATTGGTGTTCATGACATTTTGGCATATGTGATTATTCCTTATTTCCATTGTTTATTGTCTTCCTGGCATGAGGACTTTCTGTTTTGATGGAAATAAACATAGCATAGTAACGCAGGCATGTACGGAGTACTTGAAGGAGAATTTTGGGCGTTTATTTCGATGCAATTTTTAGAGTTTATGGCAAGAATCATGTTTAATGTTATGGCACTTCAGAAAGCAACTTTGTCAATTACATGCCCATCAGTCTACCTGGGATCAGATAGGGGTTTTGTAACTGATATATTTTTACAGCAGCTATCTGAAATGGAATATCGCAAAAACTCCAAAACAATAACAGAAAATCGTATATCTATCCTCGCTAGACATTTCAATAGATGGTTTTAATGGCATGCCGGTTTTCAAGCAAATATGAAAATAGGGAGGGCAGGCCTGGTGGGATGTTAAATCGCCCTATTGGTTGCGACCTCTGGAACCCTCTGCACGCCTCGTAACAACAAATAAATAGATTAGCCACAGCCGAATGTTGAGGAGATTGAATAGCTAGTATTCTTTGAAACATTTCTTCCTACCCTATCCCCTCCTAAGCATCACTTTTTTTAAAGTTTGTGCATAAAGGCAGCTATGAAAGTGAAAGAGACTAATGTAGCGATTAGAATGTAAAAAGAACTGAGTAGTGCCTTTTCTTCCCCAGCCGAAATATGATCCTAAAGGAGCGCACAAACATGTAGTACAAAAAAAGAGCAGTAAGATCGTCAATTAATGTAGGAATGAAAGTTTGCTATAAGTCAAGAACAACTAGCCGCTTCAGAGGCGGTTTCTATTTCAACCAGACACCACTTATTAGATGGCTTCCGTTGCTGAAATGCAATAGGCTCCTGAATAATTGGCCTTTTTTCAAGCACTTGCAAGCGGTGCCGCTAGCACACACCATAGTAATAGTTTTCGTAAATCTTTGTTAGAAAGCCATATCTCACGTTTCGTAATCGCTCCTTGCCCACTCTCTTGTAAGCTCTGGACTATTCAACAAAAGTTGTGGAAATGGTGTGTGAGCGATATTTTAAGGTTGTTAAAAGCTCTTTATTGACGCTCACACTCACACACCATTTCCGCAACTACCAAGAATGCCAAGATTCAAAAACGATCAAACATGGGCAATGTTCAAACAAAAATTCGCATCAGATCTTGCTTTGTTCTGTTTCTGAATTTAAACATATAGCTTGTAAGAAACTATCATAAGGTGCCATGCAAGAACTCGGCCATCTGAATTGATGAGCTCTCTCTCCCTCCGTGCAGGTTTGATGAGGGTATCATTAACAATCCAGTGCTTTAGATGCAAAAGGGCAGACAAATGGAATCCTCGTAGTCCGTGTTCTCTTAAAAGAAAACCGATAGTGTATGATGAAGGCAAAGAAGCAGCAATGGCAGTCAAGATACACTCAGTGAAATTAAATTTAATTTACTTCAAAACTATCAAAGGACGGTGTCACTTAATGAGCCACAGACGACACCAGAAAATCGACTTTTGTCGAGATGAAAAAAACTGTAAACGCGTTCGATTTTACTATTTATATAGTAAGGAAAGAAGAAGAAGAAGCCAGTGCAAATGTTTGCTGAAATTACTAACTCAAAAATTAGACTGATGTCTGGTGACATCTGAGCATCAGCCGAAGAAGAAGCTCTTTTTTCTGAAGAAGCCAAGAGCACCTCCCTCGAGAGTCGCGGGCAACTTCGTTTCAAATGCCCCTTTTGCCCATTTCTCTCAACTGTTTTTAATGTGCTGATTATCTCTACTGAACTAAACATTCAACAATGGTCAAACTGGAAAAAGAAGCCATTACAAAAAAAACAAAGATTTATAATAGAAGTTAAGGTCAAAGTCATTCCAGAGCAACTAGAACATGGAATAAAATGCAGCACAAAGTCACATTAAGCAAAATTTTTGGCAAGCCGAGCTCAGTCGTTGATAGAGAATTTCTTGTCGTGAGCCTCGCCTGGATACTCCAGTTGCAGATTCACCCGTCCAAAGTCGTAAATCTAAATGGATTTGAGTTAATAGCTGCTCAGCGCAGGCATGACGAATCTAACGAGATCCTGGTTGCGAATATCAATTGGATTTTGAATGGCATCTTTTTTAGATAATCATACTTAGATAAACTCTAGTTGGAACATATTTGTTGCAAGAGCTTGAGAAACACATAGCGTTCTAACTAACTCAAAAAATCATAATTCAAAAGCAAAACTATTCTAAAAAAATGCAAACTTCACAATGTTCTGGACAGATGTTTCATATACAGTACCTTATAATATTCTGTATACAATCTAACAGTTACCTTTCTTGCTTTTGTTCCTAGAGTAACGTAATCCTGTGGTATCCGAATCGCCCAACGTTTGTAACCCAACTGTAAAAATCAAAACTTTGAATAAATCACGTCAATTCGAAATTCACATTTGCTGTCTGCCTCGGATCCATATCGCAATTATGATGAATAGTCACGAATGGGTCAATTTCAGTCTGGGTTGAGGGAAATCTTGCTGTGTTGCCTTCGATGTGGAAAATGCCCAGATCTCCAGTATGTTCTTCTCCAAGAAGTTGGGATAGATCTGCAAGGTACATTTCATTTGAATGTTTTTGAGGGTAAAAAATGGCTTTGGATTTTATGACACCAAGAGAAGCAATATTTCATTTTGCTTGGCAATTCGAACTTCTCATTCGCCTCAACACTAAGGCAAATTAACTTGAGCATTCCGCTTTGGAAAGAGTTGGACTAAATGAGAAGCAAGACCGAAGCATATTAAGTCCGCATAGGACTGTATGATTTTGAAAGTTTTGGTAGGAAGGAAGCTAGAAACGCTTAGAATACGTACCATCAGCTTTGTTTTTTTGGTAAACGCGAAATAGCCGTACTGTAGCACCCTTCATCGCTTTGTCGCCGCATACTAGTGTACCTTTAATGGCCATCGACCTAAATAGTGAGAGAAGATAATTGCATGGAGTTCTATACGAGAAGGAAAAACCATTATAAATATTCTCTGATGAAAAGCCGATTACGAATTTCCACTCAGTGAGAGGAAAAATATAGATGCAGGCTTTTAAAGGGAGAAAAACATTTACGCTTACACGTTTGGTGCAACAGTTAAATAACATTTACTCACAGTTTCTATTGCTGTTGAATAAGTTGTGTAGAAACTTACAATACGAAAAACCTCACCTGTTTGCAACATTTGATGGAATATCCAGATCACTACCTATTCCAGCCACAACTGGAACAAGAAGCAACGATAAAAGCAGTGACATCGCTAAAAATAGTACAGAACAGAGATGAACAAACGATAACGATGCCAAAAAGCAATTCAATGAGTGGTCACGACCAATTCCTTGAACGGTCATCACGAAGAGCCTAGAGAAGCCATACAGAAGAGCAGCTGTATCTGACTATCGCGCGTGTTTATCACTTTGTTTACTCTTTGGGTCCAGCTACTGATAAGAGTCCAACCGACGATTCAAATGGATCCTTAGACGGTGTCCATCCACAAGATTGGCAGGAGTGTAATGTATAAGCGTTCATGGTCGGAACAAAGTACGAAAACAAGTTCACAACAATTTTTACTCATACACAGCAGTACTTACTATAGCACTATCTTTGAAAACAGTATTTTTCACGTTTAAGCAATGGAAGCGTATTTGTTCAAAAAACTCTGGAAATTCAAAAAAGGATTTTCCGCTCTCCAAGATCTTGTTTCAGAGTCACTGCAGATCGACCGTTAGTAATGTAGTTTTTTAAGACACGCAAAGTATGGCTAAGTTTTCTGTCGGTAATTTACTAAAGCATGATTTGCAGTACACTATCATTCAAACCAAAGTAATCAAAGATACGGTATTGCTTCAAAAACTGAAAAATTCACAAAGTTAGAGTAAACTGAGCCGCGATAACCTTGCCAAATGTTTGCATCGCGACTATAGGTTGAGTTTTTTGGGCTCCGCAGATCGATCACAACTGAGACCTTTTATCCGGAACCAGCTGACTCATCTCGCGTCACGGATCCAAGATGACTCAATATACCTCTTACTATGATCTAAATTCGTACCTCGAGTGAAGTAGACTCAATGCTGTAACGACCGCAATCCTTCACTCTAAATTTGTGCTATTCTAGTCTAACTTGCCTCGACTATGGGCTCCAAATAGAAGAACTCGGTTTTCGAAGTTGCTGTTGGTTCTCCGAGAATAATGGCTCCATAGCAGCTTCTTTTGCAAGACTTTTCGATTTTACATATTTTTTGTGCGCATTAAGAGCAGAACAGACATAATTTGTATGATATTCATATATTAATCTAAAACACAAATGCAAAATTTCAATCAGAAATGCAGAACCGTTCGGTCACCAGGAAAATGCTTACAAGTTGAATAATGCAATGACTGCTGAGCAGACCTGGCGTAAAGGCGAAGAGAAAGATGAGTAAAAAAGGGTTATAAATGCTAGATTTTAGCAGAGAACGGCTGTAGCCTTTGTAAATACAAAAGACCTGGCCAAGAATAATGCGATTCTAAACTATCGGCAGAATCAACGAGAACTACGTGTGTATGAGAAACAAAAAAAATGCGGAACAAGGACCACCTGAGTAGTTCGAAGCGAATCGATTCACGATTGAAATGCATAGGCACTTGGATGCGAATTTGATGATGAAAGATGGATGAAGAAACGATGCTCAATAACAAATTCAGATTATCTGATAAATGCAAATTTCAACAAAACCCTCAAAGAAAGAAAGGAAAGAAACATGCTAATACTATGATTTGGCAGATATCTCCATGTACAACTGCTATTATGTTTAGCAAAGCTAGTGAAAAAAAACAATTACACACACCGGGCGTGGACCTACCGGTAACAACATTTTGTGAGCAGATCAATTATAACACCGAGAAAACAGATCACAAGTCTGCCTAGGGTGGACCTCTGCTAAAGGCGGAGGTTTGTGCAAACGGGGCTGAGTCCAGAATTCATGAAGAATTTGTGGCAATTTCTGTGGCTTCTGGCAGAACCACCACATCGTCGCCTTCATCCTTACTGAGATTCAGGGGAAACGGTTTTTTCGCCTGGAAAACATGGATGAGGAGTTGAAGCAAGACAATGTAGACAACAGACTTACTTTAACTCTTTTGGAATCTATGGATGGGAAGAGATCTTCCGAACGACGCAGCTTTTGACGGCGATTGCAGAACCATACTCGAACTACCTGAAATAGCTACGGTTTTTCACAGTTTCTGAAAAAAACACGATGCTAAGAGAGAAAAATGGACCAACGTCTCTCTCCAGATCCAAAGCATTGGCTATTCGCACCATCTCTTCATGACCGGGACGTGGATTTGCCAGAAAAAAAGTATCCAGTGATTTTCGCTAAAAAGTAATTGTGTCGTTATGGCTAGCCCATCTAAAATCATACGTATAAACACCTTACAAGGAAAAGATACTTGATCGAGTTATCTGTCTATCTTATTTTTGAGGTAGAAATTCATTGATTTGGCTATGTAAAAAATAGGTGTTGAGGTCTTTCCGACACTCGAAAGGCATAATGACTGACATAAGTTTATTAGATTGAGGTCTCAATTCCATAACGCCCTCGTAGTAATTATTGCTCCTTTCGAGCTCACGGACTAAGGTTCTGAATGATTTTATTGTGGCGGCGCTTTCAAATTTTTGCATCAAATAATTATCATAACTCTCCTTCCAGAAGCGCTTTGCAAATAATGAAAGTAGGTTTGAACTTAGCGTTTCATGCTCTATAAGACAATATACATTTTGTATGGAAACGCCACTTCGAACAAGTATCCACCCCTTGTTAGATTTTGATTGTCAAAGTTTTGCTTTGATTTTCTTATTTTCAGCCTGTCCTGTCGTGTTGAACCACCCCCCCCCTTCCCGAGAATGGGTTCGAAAATTTTCAAATCGTGCAATCAACTTTTTTGTTCCTGTGAATCATCAAGATAATTTTTTAAACTTTTTGAAAAATAAAAATAGTTCTGTAAAAAAATTTGCGCGGCGCGGCTGCATCTACACCAACTTTCCAACGGTTGAATATCCCTTGAAAATTCGGAAAAATGCATCCTAATCAATTTTTGGAGGGCGTGGCCGCGCCTTTATTCTTACGAAATTTTCCGCGTCCCTCCCCCGCATGAGTTTCCTTGAACCGCTTCTGCCACCTTTCCACGATGGGCTTATTCCCACTTCACGATATATTACCTACTCTAATTTTGCTCAAACCAAAAAGCTCCCTGCCTGCGACAGATCAAGATTCGTCCGTTTCCTGCGTCTCTTCATTATAGGTTCCGTGTTTGCTACATGAATCGGCACTTCTTCTACACATTCCTCCACTTTCTCCTGAAATTGACGCAAAATGCGAAACCAACAAATGAAGTTATGCGCCCAAACCTTCGAGATTTCGATGGTCCGCAGTTCTTCCACATTAACACCATTAGCCACGGCTGCCTCTTGACCTTCCAACCATTCCTTCAGTAATGGGCGAAGCTTACACATGTTTTTAAAGGAGAGATTCATAGCCTGAACAGATAATATGGTAGCAGCGCCATTTCTTAGCATGTGGAGAGTGCCAAACCTCAAATCGGGAGATTGTTGTTTGCGAAAAATCCGTGCCATACTTTCTGCCAAGAGCGAGTCCTACATCACCTTGGGTGTAGCCTATCAAGAAAGGTGGTGGATTTTATTGGATTTTAGAGTCGTAAAATATGATTACCAAGTTTGATGCGTTGCCTTTTGAAATGCTGCGCGAAACTTTCCAAATCGTCTATTTCCGGGCGCGAATCGTGCAAACTTGAGGTAGAAGCCTATATATCAAACTTTCAACACTCTACACTTTCAACAAAGAAATTACTCACCGAAAAATCGTCAAAAAGCTTTCGCTTGGTTGGAGGCCTAAATGACATTCGCGGAAGCGTGCGAAAAAGCGGTGAGTTTAGGACAGCATCCATATCCGATGTACTCCACTGATTGACAGGTCGCGACGTAACTGACAGCGAGTTCAGAAGCGCCGAATTAACCTTATTCGGTTTCTTTACGGGTCGTCCTGTGGATAGCGACGCTACTTGATCCTTATTGCCATGGTTTTCAGGCGTTGAATCGCTAGCGCATTCCGGTTGGAGCAGCACAGCAGTGGAAGAATCTGATGGGCTTGTTAGAAACTCGGGAGTGTTTGGAACTGTCACTGATGCACTGGGCAAGGAGGGTGTGCCAGACGACGAAGAGGGTTTTGCCCGGCTTGCTCCATTTCTCGCTTCGTTGTTCGTAGAATCTGCTAGAAGCTTCGAAATGAAGGACAACAGAGAATGGGCATCAGTGGCCGATTTTTCGCTCGAGGATGTGATTGCCATTGTTGCGACATTTGGGATATCCTGTAACAATAGTTTCCCCAAACTGACAGAAAACATAGGAATTCTTAACTGACCGCTTTTGCCGCCTCTGCTACCGCAGGAGATTCGGTGCGAATTGAGCTGTTCAGCATCGATGAAAACACTAAAATTATCGCGTAACATTTTTTACACGTTGAACATTGGCGGACTTCTCATATCAACTCACCAGCCTGGGGGTCATTTTGAGAGCCATCTGCTATGCAAGATGGAAGCGAAGCCAGTGCAGCCAATCGCGCTTGTTCACTCAGCAGTTGGGTAGTTGCAAGAGTTAACGCTGGATTTCCTATAAAGGGCGAGTGTAAGTCGATTCGCACACCCGTAATCGTGTTGAAAAACTTCTATACAGGACCGCCGTCGCAGCGGCAAATGAAGGGGAGGAGAGAAGTGCACGTCAATTTATAGGAGCCGCGCAGAATGATGATTGACTGCAAGCAACGACTGGCTATCAAAAAACATAAAGGGTTTTCGCATTTGCAGACCATGCGCTAAGTCCAGAACTGTGCTTAAAACCTCTTCGTGGTGCTTTTGCTTTTCGTGGTGTTTTCCGGCCTTGGAGATTGCTAAAGGGGCGGGCCGAGCAATACCCGCCAAGTGCGGGAACCGCTCGGCCAGCCCCTTCAGCAATGTTGGCTGTCTGAGCCAAGCAGCCAATTGCTGCTGCCCAATACTGGATTAATAACTCTATCCCTTTGATCTCCTGTAGCCAGTCACTCTTTCTGGAGTGGATCTCTCTTCCAGCCCCTTCAACCGCTTTTTTTGACTACGAAAAATAACAAGCACAGACTGGACTCAGTGCATCCAGAATGCCAAAGGGACATGGAAAACTCGCAGTCGCAATTTTCCCGAGCCCTGGCTTTGAATACTGACAATATTTTTGATGTCTGTCAAAGCTCATAACTAGAACAAAATTTCTGTGATTTCTGACATTGCAATTATCTTTCCAAGCAATTTTTATTGGTTCAAATATAGAGTTACCCGTACTGCTCCTTAACGCTCTAGATCCTTGCGAGTTAGTTTAAATTGAAGAAAGTGTTTGTTGCGATTAGTTTCTATGAGTGTCATTTGGCGCACATAAAAGAGAAGAAGCTCGGATAACAAAAGCTAGCGAGTGAAAGCGAGAGAAAGAGACAGCGAAAGAAAGACCCAGAATTTACCTAACATTGATTTATTACGAGAAACAAATACCTGAGGAGAGCAATAACTGCAGTGCAGTAGCTTGATTGCTACCGGTAGTGGATCCGACAAGCATGGCGAGTCGCCTAATCATCTCCATCTGATCCATGGGCTTGTTTGCGTTCTCTTCAGCAATTCCAACTGCCCTAGAAAAGTTTTTTTGAGCCTGTATCAGCAAAGTATTCGTAGAAGTACCAATTCAAATAGATAGTTATACGTGGGTGGGGCAAGGGGCTTGTAATGAAGAACTAATTGGCACAGTAGATCAAGCAGGTCCCGACTAACTCTGATTTTTTTCTTATCACAGAAGTTAGCATGTTTCAGATATCAAATTTTTTTATTTTGATAATCTCACCGCAATATCCGCTACTGAGAGTAGAAAAACAAACATCCGCCTCAATACAAAAATCCAATTAGGCACAAAAAAACTCTAGCTACGAAAAAACAACTTGTACCGAGGCTATGGCTATTGAATGAGTGAATCATGTATTAAAATAGTGAGCCACCCGTAAACGACGATCGCCGACCGCTGTTGGGATGCGTGCATAAACCCTGAATAATTGCACTGATCCGATTACACAACGAATACGCTGCTGTCATCAGTTCACTTATCCAAATTTATACTTCTAAATTACTAAGTAGATGGTTTTACTTTTCTGACAAGAATTTGCAGTTTTTTCTACTACAAATAATAATTTCAAATTTACAGTGGCCAAAATTAGGGTGACTAGTTTGACTAAGGAAAAAAAAGCAAACAAAATGACCCCAAATGGAGCAAAGGACTGATTAGCTTCGCTACAGTACCGAGCAAAAACCGAATATTCGCGAAAAAACGCGGCTGAAAATTGAAGGATACAATGTTCAAAAAATTCTCAAACTCATTGTAAGCGCTCCACAAAATTTATGCCAGTAAGTTACAGCATACGCAAATTAGAAACGCTCTTTATCTTCAAGCACGGGAAGGGGGCTAGGTGAGGGAGGGGGGGGGGGGAGAGAGCCGTTGAGAGTTTCAAACACATAGTTGGTTAGCTGTTTCGCTTTGAACATGAATCTATCCGTTGCGAGCAAAAGTAAACGTTGCTGCTTATCGTCTATAGAAGTTATTTTGGTACCAAAACATAGCAGCATTGAGCATAAGTAGAAAAAAAGAACATTAGAAACCTTTTACAATCAGAAGCAAAAAGTTCTTAGCTTCTCCCTCGCTGGTCGGTAGTTACCAAACTTCTAATATTTGTGCATTTCGAAAAACTTCATAAATTCCAGCCCCTATTCTTGCTATTCTTTCTGCAATCTAGCACCATCGGTGGAGAGGCTATGTAGCATGAGGGGAGATGAGTTTGATGAGGCTAAAAGGTTTTACACTCAGAGAAAATAAAACATAATTGATTCATATAACGAAGGGCAAACGTGTAAAGAATCATCAAATTGATTAATGCAAAGCTTTTTCTGCTCAAAAGTTATGACATAGAAGAGAAAAACTATTTTAAAAATTTAGCTGACTGCTTTGCTAAAGAGTTATTAAGCCTTGCAGAACAATATTTCAGTTCATGATTTCATAAATAAAGGCAAAGGAGGAGTATGTCGAGCGTGATGTCAAGCGATACGCCAAATTGGGCAATAATTACTGACGGCAAAACTGAATTGCAAACCCATCCTATCAACAAGCTATGCAAATATATCCTTGCTTTAGCATCGAGCTTTCATGAGCTGGATGCTTAATCGCCATCCGTAAACATCTGGCTCGGTATGCTGATACTATTTCCATGTAAACATGTATAATGCAGTCAAAAGTAAGCTACTCACGCCTTCTGCGCCGAGCCCAAGTTCGGAATCGGATCAGGCGGACATTCCTCTGACGTTATCTGATGAGTAGGTCGCTTTGTATAGTTTTGCGGTGACTTCTCACTGTCCGAGTTATTCGAACTGACTACGTGATTGCTCGAGTCGATCACGATCGTGCTCGGATCAACAGCGAACGTCGACGGCTCGATGTGGAATCGCCGGTCCTCAGACGGCGACGGTGTACTGCTCGAGAACGTCGTGCTGTCAGCCGGGGTCACCTTCTCGCTCACACCTGCCGTTCGCATCGGATGCCGGTCAACATCGTTCGCAACGACTTCGAACTCGCTGATGATCGTGTTTGAATTGCATGACTCTTCATCGCACTGAAATAAAAAAAACATTGGACGCAAACGCTGTTATTGTGCATTCATGATAAGCGCAAAACGTTCAGGCGACTAATCAAACACTGACAATGTGTACAATGACAAACAACTGCTTCCTGCAGTAATCTACATGCACTGCGGTGGATGCGCTTGTAGGAGAGCATGGAAGGCATGATGGATGTGAGTTTTGCTTGAAATATGGCAGCATGATATCTACATTAAATTCCCCCTTTCTTCGGCTCAGAACTGCACAGACGACGGTTGTAGTCCAAAACTCAGCAATGCGCAATTTATCAATCGCTCTTCGGGTTTTTTTTCACCTTTAGTTCTAGTGAGCAAAAAATACATGCCTCTTGTGTATTGATATAACTTATACTAATATAGGCTATAGAATGATTTCAGAAAATAGGAGCAAAAATCACACAAGCATATGGGCCAAGATTTTGTCATTTCTTCAACAACAACGCGTGCTCATGAGTGCACTAAGATCAACTGAGTTGATGATATTTATTCTCTTATTAATGTCGGAGCTAAGAAGCTTATAATAGATTCACTGGCAAAATTGCACTTTGAACTTGTTCACAAGAGTTCCACACATTCAGCACTGAACAAGCTCTACAACGATAGTTTCAAATTTATGCGCCGAAGGCAAATCGAGTGACTCAGAATTTTTTTCCTTCCGGAAAAAGGGTAAAAATTGTACTAGAAGCATTTGATTCTTGGCTCAATAAATGATATCGCTATTTTTGCGAAAATTGACAAAATCACAGGAATTTCAAGGAAATTTGCATGAAAAGGCATGGAAAAAGAAGACGAAAAAAGCAAGTGAAGATGAGTGAAAGTTTGTGTGACATGCAAATGCGGAATGGGAAGGAGGCGCGGCTGATTATGCAAAAGCACATATCGATTCGAGGGGCACAACAAATGGCTGTTTGAAGACTCTTCGACATGATGTCGAAGTTGTAATCCGAGCCATTGGCATCAAACTGCTCACCTCAATTATCTTGCGCTTCACCGGTTGCCCTTTGCGTCGACGAGATCCTGTACAGGCAACTGGCTTCAAGTCCAGTAGCGATTTGCGTGGACCACATGGCAGGATAACGGCTAAATTTGAAGAATTCTTGGACAGCTTCTAAAAAAAGGAGAGGAACAAAATGTAAATATCATGTATATCATGAGGAGCTTGGGTGAAAAAAAAATGGAGGACCGTCAAGAAAGCAGAGCAAGGTGTTTTTGATTCCTGGACAAAGTGTATTGTACAAAACTTTTCGAAAAGCAGCAGCCACTCTTTGATAATGCTTGACTGCACTGTAGAAGAAGCAATGCTCCTATAACAACCAATCTCATTAAATTGCATTTTATTTTATAATTTTTTATGCACTCAAGGTGCAACAAAGATAAAAAATTCATAAGGAAAGTATTAGTAGACATGATTGAATCCTGAGCATAACTAGTAAATTCAAACTTTGACTTCTATAAACATTGAAAAAAGATCACAAGTGTTTTGTTTATCCAAATAGAGCAGACAGCAAAAATAAATCAATTTTCATTGACAACACTCAGATCAAGCATTGACAATGGTCTGTGGAAGCATATGTAGATTTGAATGTGTGCATTGTTACTTCATGAATGGCGAAATGATGATGGAGCATTGCTGTTATGCAAGTAATCTACGTTATATAAGCATTATGAAGTAGTATATACGGGAATTACATAGTTGTGATGATGGCATTTCCCAACAAACTACTTTAGAAAGTCTCAGTAAAAAATGTTATAACTAACCTTCATTATTCATCGACACATAACTGTCCTCTTCCATAATAGTCTCATCAGCCTTCAAAGAGAAAAAGCTTGTCAAACATTATAGAAACAACTTGTAAAAGTACTTATGAGTAATGCGAGAACTTTGTGAAATGCTCAGATTTGGCGTAGAAGAGATAAGATTATGAGTGCAAAAAGACGACCGCACAAACGAGAAGCTGCTAATTGAAAGAGGCCACACGGATGCGAATCTTTTTTATTGAACGGAGATCAGTGGAGTAGATCAAAGCTATGAACTTGAACCTTTGGTAAAATGAAAAAAGGGGTAAGGATTTTTTTTTGAATGATGGAGGATGATTGTTTGAGAATCGAAATAATATCGACGGGATTAATTGGAATTGTGTAAAAATCAAGGAGAGTAGGTCATAGTTGTGACATAGAACAGCACGGAAAAGCGAGAAAAAATTGGAACGCGGAATGGAAAACGAGCTCACCGCACACGTTTATCAATTGTGTGTGTCAATAAGCATATATGCATATGGAGGTGATAACGACTCGACAAAATAGTCATGTTTGTCGAGTTAAACAGACAGGAACAGTTCGGGCCCCAATCACCTGGTTTATGCAGTACAACACAAACGCAATTCATCAGCCGATATCACATGCAAAATCAACGTGAATGTGTACGAGGGGGTAAATAAGTGCGTCTAAGGGTTTAATGCGAAATTTCTAGTCGTTCATTTGAGTAGTTTTTGTTGGCGGACTTGATGACATCGATTTCTATCCGTTTTTCTGTAATCTAAGCGAAAGGTCAACGCAGTAATTAGAATTTTGTTTTGTATACGGTCACGTTTTCATTACACTTTACATTAGTGCTTTAGAAGCATATTAGACATAAGGTTAATGAGCAGATTACGGCAGAATCATTTCAGAACACATGAACATTAGGGGACTTTTCCCAAAATTCTACTTCTTTTGAAAAGCGTTTTTGTTGATATTTGAGCAAATTTTGAGCAAAAGACATGGAAGACGGTAGCTCAAAAATGCATGAAATCACTTATATACGTAGAGCGGTGATGCACAAAGTTGGAAAAGATTTGATAAAGCTCAAGTCTGCTTTTTGAAAAGAGTTAAATAATGTTGAGAAAGAACACATAAATAAACTAACCTACGGAGTTTGTGTAGTAGCACTTTAAAAAAGAGGGGAAGAAAAGTTTTAGTAATTATAGTAGTTTAGGGCCACCTAGCCACCCCCGCCCCACTCTAGTTCGAGGGTTCAGTCGTAATCATCAGTACATAATGATGACTAATTTACTTGCAATCTTCGGGTTACTCATTGTCATCCACAGTTAAGGTTAATAGCTGTTATGAACAAGTAGACAAAATGTTGAAATTGCACATTCATCAAAGACTATAGACTATGGACTGGATTAATTCTTCTACTGCACAGCCATTTTTCGACAAATACTAGAGCGAACGTTTTTCAAAGAGAGCAGTTATGGGGCAAGGCTATTAGGTATGTATGCAAAAGCAACATTTGAAGTAAAATGCAACTATTCAAGGTCTCTTGCTCGGGTAATGTTTGCGTAATATTGCGTTGAGTGCGTGATGGTGGTACACGCAAAATCTTGCACTGATTTTTACTCAATTATTTTCTGTTTCGTAAATGTTTTCAAGGCTATCTGAATGCGAATGACATCGGATGGCAGTAAAGTCTTGATAAAAACGCGTTAGTTCCACGGAGCACCTCAAAAACATCATTACAACGCTAATGTTATCTCCACCGCAATTAATTAAGTCATGTGACCCAGGTGCGAATATACGGTTGAGTTAGAATAACTTACTTTTTGTGTTACAATGAATAGCAACTACCACTTGGCCCGAGATGAGCGGTGAAAGGATGTATAGAGGAGAGTGGGGAGGGCTAGTCATGGCAAGAGTGCTCTAATGCCATAGTTTATTCAGCAAAAGAAAAATATTGGACCTAACGAATAAACCAATTTTTCTTTGAAAAAAAGTATAGAAAAGCGGCTACTCGAGAGAGGCAAATGATCAGTGAGAACAGCAAACACAACTGTTGAGGTAAATGCTTCTGCTTCAAAATATGTTTATGCAAAACGAGCGGTGATTTGTGGAGCCGCATGCGGTCGACAGCCCCTCGTATTACACAATCATTCATTACCTAATCCCGACTATTATACGAATCAGCGGCCCAAACGCCTGTTCGCACACGATTCTACCATCGTTGTTGAGGTTACTAAATTAGCCCCACTCTGAAGATCATTCATAGTACATATATGGGAGGAAAGAGAGAACGACAAGGTATATTGCGGGAAATATATGCTGAATACGAATTTCGGAGGATTGAAAAATGTGAAAAACCCCAGAATTTTGAAAACAGCAACTTCAGAGGTGAAAAAGTTGAGCTGAAGAACATTTGAATGTAGCGAATGTGAGCATCGCAGTACTAGAATTTTTTTTAGAAGAATGTAGACAACTTTTAGCTTTATCAAATAATAATGTATTTTTCTGAGATCTATGTTCCGAGATTTTCAAAAAGCTCATTTGCAAAAGACAGCAACTAAAAGCATGTATTGTGACCCTTGATGAGCTATCAAAGTTGTAAACATTTATTCTAGACTGGAGCCATAGAGATGTGACGTGGTGGTCGGCAGGTAACTCATTGATAAGTTGTTGATTACAAAGTACATCATATTAGTTGATAGCCCGTCGATATGATATTTCAAGACATGAGCGCATCATTCAAACGCGAAAGATGAAATTATCACAATTTGAAGAGTGCAGAAAGCGTTTACTAAAAAAACTGCTGGAGATCTATTGAAATGAAATTTTGTTGAGTGAGGTGTACAGAGAATGTTAATTAAGCACACAAAACCATAAAACATATGTCTGAGAGAGAACGCGAAATTTGGGGGAGATGAGGGATCTGATGCATCTTGAGCTAAGTTCTCAGATCACGCTTACCCCGCACCGAGAAAAGTGGGAATTAAAACGATGCAAACACTAGACAAAGAAGTGCACGAGCCAAATTTGAGAAAAAATCATAAAAGATAAAGGTTAGTAAGAGTCGTTCGCCTAAGCGACTACATCATGGCAGTGGATGCCGAGGAGTTTATCCTACAGTTCAAGCGCGATTCACCTCTATTTATTTAACAGACATGCGAGGTTCAAAGCGAAGGTGAGGTTCTTCTCAACCAAAGTTCGTTTTTTTGCCCACTCTTGGATTCGTTTGTATGCGCTATGCACCAAGTTGAGCTTTTCAAATGAGCGAAAGTTTTTTGGTGAAAGTTTAAGTAGAAGCATTGGGTGGATTAGTCAAGACATTCGTTTTGCGAGAATAATGCGCATATCGCGTTCGTCAAAAAATTTGGCTTCAACCTGAAAAGTATAGATTAGTGAGTAATTGGAGCAGCAATTCTCGTTCTATGTATTGAAATATTACAGTTTTTTTTATAGTGTGCACTTAGTATATTGTATACTGGTTGATTCTGATACGTCAAAAGTCCTTACATGTTGCGAAGCGCCAGCCTCCCAAGCTATGCCTAGTTTTGACAAATTGGCGCCCACATTTAAGGGTAAAAAAGACTCGGGAACAAATATATCGATCAGCTGCCAAACCTAAGAAAGCGGAAATCAACGAGAATGCGATAAAACGTGCTCTGTGGAGGTGATTTGTGTAAATGGGAGAGAGACAGGCTGAGCACAATTGTCCCGGGTTTGACCACGTCGAGGCGCTTCTGTGCTAGCTCTCCTCGACTCGGCGTCGATGGGGCGCTGAGCCTAAATGGAATGACGCTTCCGGTGGATGTAGTTTTGCATATTAGATGGGGATATGCAGAGCATTTGCCTATGCAAGCGAAAGAATGCCTAAAGTCAACGGAGGCTCCATGAATAATCACAATTGACGGAGGACGACTCGGTCAGCACTGCTATCGCCGGCATTGCTGAACTTTGTATGAAAAGAGATGAAAGGAAGCGAAGCACATTGGTAGCTACAATACTGCTTGAGATGACTGTCGAATTTGGCATTACGCTAACTCCCAAGCTTTAGCGAGAGCGTTACCCATGGCCAAAATCTTAAAACTTTTGATTTTGGATACTAAAAGCTCTGCGAAGAGTTGGTGCATGGTCTCTGCATGACTAAGCCTACTTAATTCATACATCTGCTTTTCGTTTACCTGCCTTAAATAAGCTTGATCGCACAGAACCGCCATATTTATAGATTACAAAATTTCAAGCTTATTTCCATCCTTTACAAGCAACACGTTTAGGTGAACTGATCGATCTAACCAGTATTTTGAATAACTTTATCTAAGAGAAGCAGATAAGGTATTCCCGTAAGAAAATACGCCGCTAAAAAATTGACTCTTACTCTGGATTCTGTCGAGATTATCTACGAAGGTAGCGAAAACCTCACTAGTACTTAGACAGTATCAATAGAGACAGGAAAGTGTAGAATAATTTGTTACAATGAGACTATTCAATTAATGAGCGAGTTTCAATTTTGTATAGATTTCAATCCCATTTTTTGGTGACAAGATAAAACTTTGATATAATTAACGATTATTGCGGACAGTACATTTCTTTTCCAGATAGGCAAGATTTCTGTTCGCTTTTTTCGACAAAACTAAAGACTTGAAGGATAAAAAGGTAAAATTACTGTCAACACCATTTTCCTGACACCACAATATAGTATAGAGGAACTTTGCTAAACTCCGCAGTCCGTCAAAAAATTTATTGCTCATTTTTTGTTTACTCCGATAAAAGTTGAAGAGTTATACTCAATGCAACGCTGAGTAAGAGCATACACTGAGTAATTGCCTCGCAATTGTCAAATTACTATAGCACATTGAGCAAACAGTTCTGAGTATGACTACCTTCCTCCATCTCTCATAGACGAAGAATGTAAGAACAAAGAAAAAGTGTAAATCATTTTTTGGAGCTTTCAAAACGTTTCTATGGGTGAGTTGGGTGAGCTGCTAAAGGGAATAGCTGTAATCCTGGAGGGCATCCTAAACCAGAACCTGAAGCTATGAAGTGCTAACAATGAATTAATGGGACGATAGAGTTAGTGTACCGCCTCGAGATGTGAGTGACAGCAAGAAGCGAAATGCGAATCTTCGTAGACCGAATTTTGCGCGCCATCTCGTTACACAATGTTTGGTTGAAGCGCTTTTTAGAGCAGTACTCATCACAAGGCGACAAGAAAAGACCGTCCTGCTATTATGTTAACCTACTCGATAATGAACCTTCCCCATCCAGAGAAAACCCACAACGAACATCAAATTACTTTAATTGCTCGCTGCGTCGTCCTTCAACGCATTCTTCATGTAGTGTTGCTTTAACAACAACATAGGCATCAATGCTGGTGTGTTTCATCAAATTTACTAATAGAACGAGTTCGGCAAAAGCTGCGGCGACATGTTGCGCTCGTTGTGTTAAGCCGGCCAGAAGCATAGGATGACTAATGAATGGCTTTTGTATACGGTGTGAGGTAGTATTGGTATGGGGATTGATTGAAAGGTGGCGTTGGTTGGATGGTGGTCGGCTCTGACTTCGTTTACATATAGGCAGGCAGAGTGAAGTCTCGATAAACACAAAATTATACGGCGATCGGGCGCCGCACTATTTGCATACCGGCAGGGCGAATTCGCAAGACAAATTATGCAATCGCGCGAGTTCTGAGTCGCGAATCGTCGCGCGCTTCGAGCGAATCGCATCCGCATGGATGGCGTGTGATCGCGACAAAAAAACGGAGGAAAAAGAGAGCTTGACAGGTGCAAGAGAACGCGCGAGACCACTTGAAAAGCAGAACGAGTCGCGGCAGGCGAGGATCGGAGGAGCAGCGCCTTGGCAAGATCGCGACTCGAGCGCTGTCCGAATTACTACCGAGTACCGAACGACGATTGCGGTGCGCCAAATTCGTGCAATGCGAAACACCGATGATAAGGATCGGAGAACGCCCTAATTTAGCAGTGAAATGAGTGCCGAAGCTGTGCTACGGTAGTAGCGGATATCAGAAGGGCAGTCTGGGTGGTCCTTACCACCCTCGATGTTGGCAAAAGTTTGGGAGAACAGGCAGTGCGACTAGGTTCCCCCAATCAAATCAATAGTCAAATGCGGGCTAATGGACGGCAAGTGTAGGCCAGAACTGGTTGCCAATTTGCATGCACATTTCTTCTAAATTAATCAATTTCGGCGCTGCCTCACCTTCGGTCACGCCATATCAAACATCGTCACAAAACAGATATGCATACGACTAATGGCGGTGACGACGCTCTTCGTGGCTCTGGCCCTCATCCAAGGAGGCCAAGCCGTCACGTCACGATCATCGCTACGGTGAAGCAACAGAGCTTGACACTTTCTTGATTACACAAACACTTCCAGCTGATAAATGTGCGAGAGTTGAGAGGAGCGTGAGGTTCAGGCATAGCGCCCAAACAACGACGACGATGACGACCGAACGCTGCCGCTCAAGCTCTACTAGAAGTGTCGAACCAGTAAAGTGAAGTTACTGGTAGAGAGTTGTGATGGTCGTGCTGGTGCAGTAATCCAACCTTTTTTTGGAGCGCAAAGCAATTTACAATAAATATGCAAGCGTGAATTGTGGTGACCTTGCGCGGCTGCGCGTCCTTTTCAGTTCATCTTTTACAATGGCATATGCGTAGTCGCGCAACATCCAATTAGAGGCAATGTGTGAAAATGTTTCCACACTCAGCCAGGTAAGCATGCTTGGAAAACCATGAGCAATTTACCTTACAGTTCATAAGATACCTCTAAACATCTCGGATAGATTAGACCACATTGATGTAGGCGTCTTCGGTTTTCTTAATTTATACCTTGATTAGAACCTTTAAAGATAAAGCAATGCGCATATATTAGATACGACCCTAGCACTACTAGTTAGGTAGTTTTCAATCCATTTTTTGACTGTCTTTGAGTTATCGCTGCCAATACCACAAAAACTTCTGCGTACGGGCTGATTACACCCACATAATTTATCTCCCGATTGTTCCTTGTACATTATAAGTACCAAATATGCGGTAGATTCTACTACATCAAGATTGCCAACTGCTAATGGACCTAGTTTTATTTGTACTCGCGAATGACAGTCGCCTATTCAGCATCCTACTTTGTTATGTTGTCGCCCTGTGTGTGGCAGCGGCAAAAATTAGTTATTTACAAAAAAATTGGGACAGACTAGACCGGTTCCATCTCAAAGTACGACTGTAGTTTTTCGGCCATAATTTAAGCACTTCAGTGTAATTCGCATGGAATATCAAAACATTTCGAATGATTGCGGCCACATATTGGAAGACACGTCGGTCTGCGCCACATTGGGTGAGCCACTGATGATCATAGGAATTTATATGAAAGCTCAATTTTCATTAAATTTCTCTCTTGTCATATGCATTCGTTGACATTACGTGAACGCAATGTGATAGATGTGAAGAAACGACACGTCCGCAGTCGTGTTCGACTTTTATCAGGGAAAAATCTGATACGGATAGCTGAGCTTTGCAAGGCGTACTGTCACTGTAAGAGTATTAAACAGAAGCAAATCGCCTATATGAAGCTAATGCATCTTTATTTCATGGAAAGACGAACTATCCCCTGATCTGACTATTTAAATTAGGTTTAACAATGAATGGAGCGCTTATTCTCAAAAAATGATTAGTTCCCAAAACTCCAGCATGGCTTTCTCAACAGAAAATATTAGGTTGAAAAAGTCTGCATACCTCTCATTTTACAGCAGCTTTGTTAGCAAACTCGATAACCTCTATTCTGTAGAAGCACTTATTCTAGCACCACTGTATGTGGTAAACATAATATTCTAAGTTTCATGGCAGAACCATACACTCTAATAAGAAGAACTACATTCTTCTGCTGTACACATTGATAGTAGATGTCGTTAACTTAGCAGTAAGGAACAACATTTAGGTGGTGCACTGATTTTGACTGTCACCTTCAATTTTTGCAACACTCGCAAACTTGATGATGGTATCAAATTGAGCTTTGAACATCTTTTGATTCATATACCGATTGTACACTATTTTTTCTACAAACTTTCCTCTATAATTACTTTCCAGCAATAAGTGCGCGGTAAAGGAGTTGAAACTACTTGTTTAATAAAAAAACCCCAATCAACTTTAGCTTCCAAGTGGTTTGCTAAATGGTAAAGAATGTTAGCCTAAAAAACTTTTTAAAATAAAATCTTTACTATTTGAAGAGCAACTAATATGGCTGTTTTCAAAAACCTTTTTTTTGTGAGGAGTTCAAAAGAAGTTATGAGCGCTTTTAGGTTGAAGGTCTACCCATAAATAACCATTGATTTATTTGATAGCTAGGAAAACGGTGGCAACTGATTTTATTTCAGAATCACCTTCATTCTTCCGTATCACAAGCCATTCTTGGAATCAGCGTTTTAGAACTCCCAAAATAGAATAACACGTGAAAGGGCACAATTTTTCCTTCTTGGAACAGGGAGACACCCAGATCTGAGATTGTCCCGCATTTCCGTACTGTTTTTCCCATGACCGGATCACACACAATGTGAGCTTGTGTTTTGAAGATTTCGAGTCTTTACGTAATCCCATTCGGAAGATTTTAGGAGAAGATGATGGTAAAACAATTTGTTCAGTTCAGTCCACTGGACCGTGAAGTTTAAACGAATTTGTGCTTTCCAATGACCTTATGTTGTGAGTCAGGAACAAAAGAGGAGACTTATTTGTAAAATGTAGAGATTGGAGAAAACGTAGGAAAATTTTTTCAAGCATCCACAAGTGTGAACATTTGCTTTTCCATAGGACTTTTTCTAGTAGTAGAGTGGTGCACTCTTTCTCAGCTCCCCCGACATTCGGATATTTATTGCTTTGTTTTCGCAATTCTTCATACATCACAAATTATACAGGCATTGACAATGAGCCGAGTCATTTAGAAGAAATCAAAGCTATGGCTTAGGGTGCTGACTAGACAAAAAGCAGAGATCATTCAAACGGACAAGAATCAGCAATAGAGGTGGATTTTCAAATTTCTCAATATTGCTCAACATATTGCATTGCTGTACATATGACATTAAAACGAGATCATGTCATTAACAAAGATAACAAGGATGATAATGAAAACGATGATAGACATGCAAGAATAAATTTCCAGAGATAAATGTGATAAAATTGAAGCTGACTATATCTATTCTAATCGTAATGTAGCGAGGCAAGCACAACAGAAGAATCGGTCATTGCTTCTTCGGCACTAAATTAGTGAAATTTAACCTACTAGGCAGGATCAAAAACGAAATAAACCCCACCTAGTGGTGACCGAGCTCGGAAACATTCCATCGCTACTGGCTTCGCTTTTCTGGCTAGGACTTACTGGACCCTCTGATGATCGAGTACTGTCCGTTGTTACTTCACCTCCTTTACGATTTCCTTGGTACTTCTTCTGACGAGCTCTTGAGTTCTAAGTCACGGAACGGTTATTGAGGTGAAAAAGCTGTTGAGCCCAAAAATCTTATTCGCTTCTCACTAACCTGGAACCAGACCTGTGTAACTCGTTTACTCAGTCCTGTAATATTGGCTATTCGTTCCAGGTCGGCTCCATCAGGGTTGCTATCCACTTGGAAGTGTGCCTAGATTATGACATTTTGGAAGAAGACTTATCTTCACAAAATGTAAATCGCAGACAATTGTTTTCACCTATAGTTATCTTGACATAAGCACATAATGGTCCCACCTGTAAGACACTCAGTTGTTCCTCTGCAAACGTCGTACGCACTCGCTTGATCTTTTGTTTTTGCTGGTTCGCTCCTGAAACATTTTCCTAGCACTCTAACTACAGATTCAATATGCGCCAGCTATAGTCCTCCTTCGACGGAGCAAGCCGAGACGAAAACGAATTTACCCGAATCGCCGTCGACCAACTCGACGAAATGTTGCTTACACAGTAGACGATTGTCTTGCAGTGCAAACTCTTCGCCGGTGCTTAGTTGCCTGTGAAAATCAAAATAGAACTCATTTAGAGTGTAGAGCCCTTTTCTAAAAGATCAAAACATTCACCTTTTACACTGAGCACAGGCGAAACAGGCCAGATGAAAAACAAAGGATCGAGCTCTTCTAACCCAGTCCGTAGCATGGATCAGCCGAGAACAGGATGCACATTTTGTACCGAATTGCCTGTAAAACACTGATTAGAAGGAACCAAAACAAGCAAATTTTAGTGTGTTCTAACTTTCAGGAAGGTGTTGCAAATAGTTTTTTTGTAGGAATGACTTCCTCCTTGACCGTAATATGAGGACAAGTTATCGTAAATGAAGAAAAAAGTTTCGCTTTACGATGAGTTGTCCTCAAAATTCAGCCAAACATTACCCAGTTGAATTTGATGGGAGAATGGCCCTTCTTCCAATAATTACTTGGCTCTGCTCAGTACATTTTGCTAACATAAATTAGACTGGATGAATATTACAACGACGGACTTTCGCTCGCTCTATTTGAAATTGAACGAAGAGCTTTTCTGCGTTCAAGAAACTTCAGTTTGCCAACGTATCACTCTTACAATTCAGTTGCTATACTCCTAGTAAGAAAATGACAGTTTGGTTTGTGCGTATAGAGAGCAGAAGTTCCATGCAATGAAGAAGAAAGGTAAAGAATGCATTTTTGAGTGTGCCGACTTTTGCTAATTGCCCGAAAGTCAAGAAAAACTTCTAATATTTCCAACGCTGCACAAATTTACCATAACTTCCTCTAAAGTTTTTTTTTTGTACTAGCATAAATTTTTTGAAAGCAGGTCTTTAATCTCCCACCAATGGCGCTGCCTTCCAAAAGAGTCCTTAGCAAGGCTGGCAGCTTGTTCGTGCCTCAAGATGTGCCGTATCCCCGGTTTGACTTCAAAGCGATAATCGACTACATCTGTCCGGCGCTTCTTGACTGTTCCCCCCGATGTTCTAATCCGTTTTCGGCACCTTTATCCACAAGTGTTTGCCCGCCTACTACGACAATTATACAATTTGCATGTACAGCGCGCATGCAAGCATGTGGTGCGTCTAAGGAACTAATAAATTCGAACGACAAGTGGAGGTCTCGAGTAGAGTAGCTCAAACCTCTCACACTTTTTCGTTTTGGAAGTACATGAGAAATGCAAGAGGTAAATCAATGTAAATCAAGTTTAGGGATTATTGTTCTGTGAAGTGGACCCACTTATTTCAAAACCTTTTTGTTCCAATGTGAAACAACGTCAAAAAACGATAATTCTTTCTCAACAATATTCTTGCTCCTCGAGATGAAAAACAGTAGGCTACAGTTTGAAAACTTCAAATGTAAATCAATATTCTACTCTTCCGCTCTATTTTCCATATCTCAAGCATATCGTTTTGAGCAGCGATCGTTGCTAATCCTCACGAAATCCCAAAATCTGCACCGGTATCGCGCAAATCAAATAATAAGCGGTTGTAGCGCGTCTAATCGCTAGTACCGTAATCGCGCTAACTAGCATGCATGACGTAATTAAACTCATTGACAGATGTGAGGGTGGAGAGGAAGAATGGAACGAAAGCTGCCTGCAAGAGAGTACAAGTCTTTTCAGTATTGGGATAAATTGTGAAAAATTTACACAGCTTTGAGTTTTTGAAAAGAGTCAAATGATAACTGACCTCGAGTCATATGTAACTTAATATTTGAGACTGTACAAAAAGCCCTATTAACGACGGCAGCCATACTAGTAACTTTCCAGTAAAACGTTTCCTATATTAACAAACTGTAGAAATGTATTCTACCGATTGACATATAAGCAACAAAAGAAAAGAAACAAGGAAACAAGGAGCCATTACTGGAAATAAGCAGGTTCTAGCTTTGCAGTTCGTCAATCAGCATGTATAGTGTGCACTACGCATATTAAGTTACAAATGACTCGACGATATATAGGGTGCGGAAAAAAAGTATTTCTAATTTGGCAACCTTAGGTTAATTTGAAGTAATCACCACTTCCTTGTGCTAAGGAATTTTCGAAAAAATCTTCATAATTGTAAAAGGGAGTTGCAAGATTTGGTATGAGATGCGCTGTAAACAAGGAACCGCCGCCGGGTAAAATTTCAGAATTTTGGCAAGTTTATGTAAAATGCTAGACTGTACTTTATCATGCATGCGGTATACGGTATTCATGTTAAATTTAGCAGAAAAATTTGGGAATTACGTTAAATTTTCGAGCTCTACTTCGAAGGACAGTACTTTATGCGCATCCTGTATTTTAAAATTAGATAAGGAAGGTTTTTTTTAACCTCTCACGACTTGTTTCGAAATTCTCAGCTACCAAATAGTTTTATGTACCAAAATCCCTCTCCACTTCAAAACTTCTCGCCACATCCCTGCACTAGTGATGTCATTGCCTGTCACAGAAGCTAGAGCGGACTTCATGGATACGGTAGAGTTCCTGATTAGGTCCCTTGGGAGAGAAGGCAAAGTCAGCTAGACGCATACACAGATGTCAAGAGAGCATCGTGAGTTAGCGGATTGAGTCAATTAGATTAGAACAGCACGATGAGCGTCATCTTACTATGAAATTTGAAGAAGTGAAGACGACATGAAAACTGAGCATACGGTACCTTCCATAGCATGCTTTGCAGAGCGTATTGCCGTCTCGGTAAAAGCAAGTGTGCTGCGATTGAAGCGATGTTGTACAAGAGGCACACCGAAGACAATTTTCATGCCAAGATCTGAAAACATATTTTTTGTTAGATGCTCGAGATATGCTAGGAAGAATAAATCAACTTTATGACTATCACATGTTAAAGTTGACAACATAAACAAATAGCTTGACAGAAAACCCTGTGAGCAAAGAGAAACCCTCAACCCGAATAAAACACATGTTTATTCATTTAGTAAATTTTCAACTTTGCTCTATTTAGAAAGAGCCATTATGAGAAAATTTTACACTGAAATGCGACATATCGAGGTTCCGTTTGAATAGTAGAATTATCGAGAAAGTTTACAGAAATATAGATTTGCAAAAAATTAGGATATGGGAGCAAGGGAGCATATGCACTCCACTTTCCATAAGACTCTGTGTATATTCACAAAATTGAGGGATTGTGACTGGAGGAAGATGCCAAAAAACATCATTTGAAAATAGAGTTAATCCTGACAAGTTCAAGCTTTTCTTACACTTAATATTACGATAATGTCCATTGTTAATGCGGAGATTGAGCCGACAAATGCACATGCTATTCCGTAAGTTTATAGCCTCATCAATTCATGATATTTCTACCGTAACAGAATCTGATTGACAGCGTCACAAAAATTATTTGAAAAGTTAACTGACCTTCCGTTTACTGTCAGGAGTGTTCGCTCATGAATGGCTCGGTCACATCCGCAACAAATCTCGGCTTCATACTGCAAGAAACTTTTATTGCATTTAAAATAAGAAAAATGGATGTGAATGAATAATCTGAAAACAATTAGGGCTTTTCTGCTTGATATTCACCTCCTCAGATCTGGAAGAGGGAGGTAATTCATAGGCTTCTCTCTCCCCCCCCCTTTCACCTTTCTCTACAGCTTTTCTCTCAAAGTTGTGTAAATTCAGTGCTTTAAAAGGCTATTATGTAGCAGTAATAGTTTTCGGTACAATACTCAGATAATGAATTACAAAAATGAAAAGCTAAGATAGGACAACGAATTTTGGTGCTCTTATTTGAACAATTATTTGGGATCCGCAATTAATTGAACCACAAGCTCCAGGGAAAAAGAGAAATTGGCTAGATTAACTCTAGTCTTGAAAAGAAAGTATCAATCACACACAAAATAAATTGTCGTACTCCGGTGATACAAATTGCGACCACTAGTCCAGCTTCTTTAGAATCTGATAAACGAGTAATTCTTTGCAATTTAAATCTGACCAGCTGAGCTTAACGGCAGTATAAACATAGGAACTTCTTTTCTCGTTCCAAAAGTTTTTGTTCTTTTCAGAATTCATTATGGCAAATTGTCTACAATTTTAACTCGTAGAAAACGTCTCAAAAAAATTAACGTGAAAAACATCATTCATAAGCAAATAAAGACAGACAACGAAAAATCTCCGATGAAAGGCTCATCAGCTAAAAGCGGCACCGGATACGGTGGATGACGTTCGCAATTAGATAGTATTCATGGATAATGCCAATGACAGCAGAGATCATGCTTTAGGATGCGCTTAGATTTGGCAAGAAATTACAGCGAAATTTTGTTGAGACAAATTTTTGGAGAAAGTAGCAGCAGTCAGGTGCTGCTGTGGAGTTTGTTGAAGCTCTCTCGAGCACCCTCAAAAAATCAAATTCAGGTGGATCTTGGTTGATTGGCTCTCTTAGCCTCTTGTTCAATTAAATTTGTGGTGTGAGTTTCTTCTCACAGCTGAGCGACTATGGGATGAATTTGTCTCTGGTATTCAACAAAGCAGCAATGGGAAAAAGGTAGAGACGTTTTTTGAAGAAAGCTCTAGCTGGCCAAACCTCCCAGTTATTTCTTTTGGAAGGCCTCGTTTGATCATTCATAGTTCACCATACTAAACCTTATCAAATGGAGATACATAATTACTGACTAGAAACAAAACAGGCATAGCTTTTGAGCAGTTTCTAACGCAGGAGCCCTACATTTGCTATTACGGAATCAAACAGATTTTGCATTGAGCTCATTACATAAAACTAGGTAAAACTGTGATATTTGGAGAAATGGTCAGGCTCAATACAACAGGACTGGCGCTCAAGGAGCAGGGAATAAGCCTAAGAAGTGCCCTGAGGCTCAAAAACAATTGCGCACTACGATCTGCTCCCGTAAGGTGACCGATAGAGCTCGACAATGCGAGCGAGCCTGACTGGCCCAGGGCGTCTCACCTTGAGTGGCGCCGCGTAGACGAAATCTTCATCGCTATTCATGCGGCTTGCACAATCCTGGCCGACGACGAATTGTCGCACGTCCGCCGTTGACGCGACGAAATCCGATCGCGGCACGAGCGTTTCCGGCAAAGCGACAACGCATTCCGGTCGCATAACGACGAAGTCGGCTCGCGAAGCGGGAAAATCCGTCGCAAATGCGGTTGCGTCGACGAAACAGCTCTGATGAACCTCCATGAAGATGCTCTAACGAACCGCTAACGAGCCAACAAACGACCTAACGAGCAGATACAAAAGGGGCGGATGCGCTGCAGCGCCGCCCCAGCCGCGCGATTGGCCAGCCCGCTGCGGCTCGCCGCTGTGCTTGGATGGAGCGGAGCCCGACGAGAATCATCGGCCTTCCAACGATACTTTTCGGGCAAAATTCGCTTAGACCATGTTGACTTGTTGCCTTGTAGTTTTGGAACATCACGGAAATGTGGAGGTGGAGCTACGATGTTGAAGGAACCAACAGGCATCTTCTTGCATCAAATAAGTAGCATTCATTTTAAACATGGAGCTTATTGAGAGCGAGACCCTAGGACAGAGGCGCTTCTTGGAAAATATGTCGGTATTGAATGAAATCTTCTTTTTTACGAGCACGATGTGACAAATTGGGCGAGAAAGTATGGGGAAATGGTGCTACTTCTTATAAACTCTATGAAGAAACCGTGAGTAGGATAGGATATCCAAAAGATTTAGTCGTATTCCCAGTTTTCAGTCGATAGTCTATGTTCTCGTTTTGGTAACTCTTTTAACAATCTGCCTAAAATTGTATGTGAAAATTGTTTTATTACAGCTTCATTCATTATGGCTGTTGAAACTCAGTATCAGAATTGTGTTCATCAAAGCAATCTATCTCCAATATTACCATTTATTTGGAAAAAAATCACAAACAAACAGTTGACTGACCTTGGTGCTCAAGATAACAAGCTAACCAGATTAATCTCGTTAGTCCAGTTATGCGGTAAACCTGGAGCAATCCACCACATGTCACCTTTTTTGATGGCTCTCAACAAGCTGACACCCGACTGCAAATCTCAACAATCTGTACAGTAGATTTGAGAGGTGGAGAGAGTTTTTATAACTGAAGAAAACGTAAAATGTTCTATTTTCCTTTTTTGATACGTTACTTCCTTTTGTATCAGTCAAAATGCTGTTCAAATTTTTTAATTGTCGATCTGTTACAAATCATGTGTTTAGTAGATTTACTACACCTAGTTGTGGTCACTCGATTCGATAGACATTTTATGGCTCGACTGCCGCTTTTGTGCTGCAAATGCGCTAAATTGAATCAGTTGATCGATGTAAATTGAATTACTTTGCGCTCAAAACATCGAAATCTGCAGAATCGCGTTAAACACCCTAGGACAATGCCAAAGACTTGAGCTATAGGGCGAAGAAATCTTTTCATGGATTTAAGGTTTATAAAAATCTTTCTGAGCAAGCTGAAAAGCTACAGTGTTATATGTTGGTAGGATCACTGTGATCCAATTAGATCCTACAATTCTAGTGTGAGCGTTTTTGAGCACATATTACTACTTAGATCGCTTCCGTCCACCACCAACATTACGGGGTTATGCCTAGGCCTCATTTTTTTTAGTTGGAACAGCAAACTTTCTTTGTTACGTTCAGCATCTGACAAGATCCGGTCAATACATGAACGTAAACATAAATGTCAATATGAAGTTTTCTATTGTAGGTTGTTTGGAAGTAGGAAATATTGAACATGCTGAGTAAAGTAAAATGTGCCAAAAGGCTCCCTATCGCTCCTTCTCCTGCCATTTCATTTTCGAACTTCTGCTTCCTCTGGAATCCTTGTATGCCCAAACTGTACGACTTAATCTACAGACAAAAAGGCTTGTATCTATGTATGCTGATATGTGAACATATAGACACCTACACATATAATGTGTACTGTAAGTTCCATGGCACTCATTCCGCCACATAAACTTTGTGGGAATAAAGTTTCAAGCTTTCATCGCTACTCATCATGACTGCTGAAAAGAATGCTGCAAATTCTTCAAATTTTTTGTCAAATTTTCAGCATGTTTGATAAGTTTGGAAGGCATGATTCTCACTAGTAAGATCAAGAAATAGAGTGCCTGACCACAAAAAACTCTTAACGACTTCATTGTAATACTGCTAGCGAGTTTATCCGAGCCTGCCCATGGATTTCGGTATCAATAATTGTGTAGAGAGAAGGTACGCTAATTGCATCGCATTTAGCGCCTACCTTCATTGATTCTTATCGTGCACTTTGAACTTTGCAGCAACATGCCCAGCAATATCCTTCTTCAGTATTTTGCAGTTTAATGAACTATCTGTTTATATGGAACGGACAAAATATCATTCAAACCTTAGGAAATGACGACGACGTCTTGCTGTTTTCTGTGATGACCGTTTCGTCAAAATAAAGTGGTAGTCCAGCGAAGTGCTCTTCTCTATTCATTATTTCCCAAAGAATAGCTCAAGTTGGGAACTATTTATTTGGTTTGATTTTGCATGAATTCATCATTTATAACGAGAACATGTTCGATAGCAGGACCCTTGCTTATCCCTTCAGAAGTTGTTTTCTTTTTGTGCTGCAAATTTTGTGCGCACGTGATTAAGTTTCTTATAAGTATACAAAGCTTTTTAAGGTTTAAAAATCATCAAATATCAATCGCCTCATGACTTTTTGATAGATAGTGCCAGAGATTTTTGTTGACATTTGAATTATGAACGTCGTTAACCTATATCACATTTTGCAATTTTGTTTGCCATGCTCTGGTTTCCAGCATAGATCACACCTTACATGTTCAACTCCAAAATCGTATTTCTCCCAAAATACTAGCTGTTTTCCTTTATACATTGTGATTTTTGATTTTGACAGGAATTTTACAGTATGGCTACCGAAGCCCCACTGTGAAATCCCAGTGAGCAGAATGGAAAATGTCATATTAAGCATAAGTTGTGCAAAGTTCTGTCCGATTTGATTTAGAGTTCAAAATGTCATAACTTCTTTCAAAGTCAACTTTTTTCCAAGATCTTAGTTTACATGTGTTGAGCAATTCCTTGGCTATCAGAGACATATCAAAATCTGCGAAAATCCTTGTTAAGGAAGAAGCAAAAATTTAAAAACTTCACCACGTTTTCCTTCAAACTTGTCTTTTTTGACTGGCAATGCTCCCTTATGAGAATTGTAGGCATCTTATCTAACAATGGACAGATAGAGAAATTTTCGTAGATTATTTTGCAACATGAAAGAGCCCGTAGGGTCTGGGTTGCCGAGAGATTTTTTGACCGACAAAATTAGCCACTTTTTGACCTCGCTTCAGCGCATGTGTGCATGCCTATTTATGAGTTATGAAAATTTTACAGTTGACGTGAGCGCCGAAAAGGAGTTGGTGGATGGGCCCTGCTAGCTCTTTCTTTACCCTAACACCTCCAACTTTGAAGTTGTCGATTACTTCTATTCGCAGAAAGTTATAGCTTGTAAACATCTATACAGAAAATTGAAGTTCGATGACAAATTTCACTAGCAAGACGTTTTCTTCATGGAACCGAACTTAGGCATATATTAGCCTTTTACATCCTTCCGCAGCCAATGAAAGAACTTGACTTGAAGGGCGCATTATGGAGATTTCCTCGCAAGAACATATTTCTAGGGTGAGAACGTACCTCGGCCCCTTGGAGAATTTAGGCCTGAAATCTCCTTACACTAAGAAATTTATCGAAATTTGATATGCTTTAGAAAGCGCAAGAAAAGCACTTTCTAACGATACCAACAATACCGCATTAGAGATGAAATTCTCTTAGAACAGCTGCTTCAAACATGAGGCAAAAAAAATCGGACAGAACTTATGCAACAACCTAATATTTGTGGTCAACGTGTGGAACTAGGAGAAATCCATGATATTGGTCTTGTTCTGAATGACTACCGTAACCTAACCTTAGCTTATAACGTCAGTACTTGTGGTCGCTTTGTAGGATCAGCCCTCCCTATCCTACAAGCAAATTCCTGAATACATGTTCAAAAATCTTTTCAAGAACTATCATTTCGTAAGAAGCAATCCACCGTTTGATCGCAATTCTGACACTGAAACTTACGCTCTGATCAGAAATAGAGTATTACTGGCCTGATCATGAATGCAACTGAAACTTCCTTGTCAGCGTGATCACTGCCAGGATGAAAGGCTACAAAAGACATGAACAAATTCCCATTTCTTTCATCCTTCCTTTCTTCGCTATCATTGATGGTTACCTTTTCAGTATTGCGTTGGTCACAGAATGACGTTATTATGATAACAATGCTCATTTTTGATAGTTTAATCGAAAATGGGGTCACTGTTGACTAATAAAGAGATCTGAACATACGTCCCTAGGTAGGGAAACTCAAACTCTTGGTTAAATTTGTTAAACATGTAAATGACATGTCAAATTTTTTTGACACGTGGCAGAAGGTTGACACTCCTTCCTGTGAAGTCGGGATCAAATATGGTACGAGGGAAAAAGCAATATGCTTCTTTGAAAAAATGGTTCCGGATAACGGAAAAGTACCATATTTTCTGATTATTCCCTACTGCTCTATTTCTTCAAGAAAACCTTCTAAGAGAAAGCTGGCTTAGCATGAGTGAGTTTATAGCGGCTTTCGGTTTGAGAACCAGGATGATAAGATGTCAAAGTCTATCAATCATTCTGAAATCTCCGGCCACAACCAATCAATACAAAAAAATCAGCTCAAAAGAAAAGTTTTGAAAGTGAAACTCAGCCTGGCTAAGGTCGTATATCATTCTAAAAAACTGAGAAAACTAAAGGAAAGATTTTCACAATATGAAGCAATATATTTACATTTATTGGCAATGAACCACCGTCTAACCCAAAACACTCGTTTTTAGCCTTTTTCATTGAATACTTTACTCAATTTTGCATGGAAAGGCCTTCATGAACACATATGATATGAAAGCACAAAATGTGCAGCTCCTCTCTATGTTAAGCACGAGTTCGGAATTTTTCAATGTAAATTTGGGTAAAGTATTTAACGAAAAAAACTAAAAACGAGTGTCTTTATAGACGGTGGTTCGGTGCCAACAAATGTAAATATATCGCTTCATAATGTGAAAATCAACTTTTTTTTTTATTGTCGACAGGATTTGCAACTTCCCTGCTATAATTTACAGAAATGCAAAACGGGTGGCATTCCAGAGGAATCAATC